TGGCAGTTCCATTAAATCTGATTGGCTGCCTGGCTCAAGGCACATGCCCAGTTTGCGGACGCTTGTGTGCTTGTGTTACTTGACAAGATTTCCCTCGATTGTCGCAATCAAATTCAATTGTGTTCAATTCTGACAGTTGATTGTTCCATTGATTTTCTCAATACATCGTATGTATGTAAGATATAAGACAATTATAATTTCAGTTCATTAAACATTTATTTCAATTATATTGCAGTAAGAAAGTTACATAGGTCGCTGCCTAGCGCAATGTTTAGCCACAATTATAATGGGACATGACTGATTGTCCAGGAGAGAAACCTATGGCATACTGGGGTTCGTTTTTCGTACGATCGTAACTTACGATTCCGAGAAAACCATTTGTCTCTGTTTTGATGAACAATGACTTGCGACCAAATCGTAAGTTACGATGGTTTCAAAAACGGACCCCTGTATCTTTAAAATTGTTCTGTTGGTGTCCCACAAGGTGTAATTCTGTAGTGTCCAATAATAAGTCTTACCATGTCAATCAATCAAGTCCGATGAAAAATTAGAATATAGAAATATGAAATACAAGGATCTATCACATCTATAGGGGATAATATCACCAATGTTAAAGTCTGTATCATTCCCACATCAATTAATTATTTTTGATAACATATATTTTAAATTCTCTACTTATCACAGGGATTGTTAGTGCATTTTTATGTCAGTTCGTTTGATGAGCCTGGACAAATAGTGTCAGTTCGTTCCAATAACCTTAACAAAAATGTCAGTTCGTTCCAATAAACGTGGACAAAAATGTCAGTTCGTTCCAATAAATGTGGACAAAAATGTCAGTTCGTTCCAATAAACGTGGACAAAAATGTCAGTTCGTTCCAATAAACGTGGACAAAAATGTCTGCCAGCTCCAAAAATCTAGGATGAAGTTCATTCCAATAAATCTATACAAAAATACCATTTGTTTCAATAAACCTATAAACAAAAAGTCAATTGTCACTATAACCGAGACAAAAAATGTCAGTTTGCTCCAACAACCCAGACAAAAAATGTCAGTTCATTCGTTAAACCCAGGCAGAAATTTTCCCATTTCCTCTCTCTCAGGCTGTCACTTTTGAAATATGAAAAGGAGTGTAAAATGATATTTCTTCATCTCCCTACTGTTATGACTAAACAAGTCAATTAAATATTTTGCAATTACCTATTTGTAAATCTGAGAAAACTGATTTGCAGACGCGACTTCTAAAAAATTGCAATTAACTTTAAGGAAAATATTTCTCATGTCAATTTTGTATCTTTCAAGAATTTGCCAATTTTTGATGTAGATTTTAAGACATTTCAACCCTACAATTGTACATATGTCCTGGCAACAAACTTTAATTAATGTCATAATTGTTTGAAAATAAAAAATAAAAAAGCCACTATGCAGAAACAAATAAACGAAGACACTAGACTGCAAATTGCAAACCCAAAAATATCAGACTTCATTCAAAGTTAAAAAGAAGTAAAAAATGATGGAGATACCAGAAATATTTCAAACTTAGAAACACATGCTCCAGGTGTAACAAGACATAAGTCTTCAACTTGAAATAAATTATTTTCGCTTAAAGTTTCCTTACAAAAATATGCCCATGAAAAACATTTTCGTCTGATGCCTCAACTCCACGCTTTTCTCAATATCATTTAATTTTTCATATATTCTGTACAATTAAGAATATCAACTACATGTCTGTTTACTTTATTCTTTAACTGAACTCTTTTTGACTTCTTTATTTTCCGATTTATACGATAACTGTCATAACATAAGTGTTATCCATCAAATATAATCATCTGAGACATTATGACTCATGAGATGGTTATTGTGAGAAAAAGTTCCCGTTTCTAAACTAGTCTACATTTTTTATGCATAGGGAATAAGGTATTTAACAATATTTTTGCATGTCTGAAATTCCCTTATGAATTTTGTATCAATAAAGTCAAGAAAAACATTTATTTAGCATCCTTTCATGGGTTTTCTTAAGAAAGGATATCGATATATCTAACTTCAAAAATTGATCACAGTTAGATTTCATTGTTCTCACAAGGGTCTATGATCTTAATTGTTTCGGTGCCAGATAGTAGTGGAAAATTCCTTTTTTAATCAATTAATCATTCATTAGACAGTAGACACATAGTGATTGTTATAAAGCTGCATTTGGTCATAAGAAAATAGTTGTACAGTGAAACCCGTGAAGTGGAACATCTCTAGAGGTGAAACACCCCTGTTAGTTGAACACTTTTCAGAGTCCCAAGAACACATTTTAGAGTCCCAAGAACACATTTTAGAGAGTCCCAAGACCATATTTTAGAGAGTCCCAAGACCACATTTTAGAGTCTCAAGACCACATTATAGTGTCCAAAGAACACGTTTTAGAGTCCCAAGAACACATTTTAGAGAGTCCCAAGACCATATTTTAGAGAGTCCCAAGACCACATTTTAGAGTCTCAAGACCACATTATAGTGTCCAAAGAACACGTTTTAGAGTCCCAAGAACACATTTTAGAGTCCCAAGAACACATTTTAGAGTCCCAAGATCACATTTTAATGGTACCAAAGGTGTTCGTCTTAGACAGGTTTAACTGTATTATATCCCATATATTGATCAATTTGTGTATTTCAACTTGTCAATAAAATTTGAAAAAGAGGATTTGATTTTCAGGCATTCCTTTGCAATTTAGTATGTTCTCTTTACCTTCTTTACTTAATTCCTTGTTTATTCCACTTCATTTCATTATAAAATCTAAATAAAAAGGAGCATGATTCTCAGGAATCTTAAGCAATGTGATTTAATAGAGTTCACTAAATGCTCATGAACTTTATTCCTCGCTTATTCCATTCAATTTCCCTCTAAAACCTGAAAGAGCAGTTTAATTTTGAGGCATTTTAATGCAATTTATAGAGTTTACTACATGCCCATATACTTTACTCATTGCTTATTTCTCTCTAAAACCTGATTTTCAGGCATCTCTGTGCAATTAAGTGTATGTTTGTTGATTTTAATCTAGATTGATTCCACTCGTTCTGGTGTTTATTTACTTATTTCAAAACAGATCACCAAAATAAGGGTAATCAATTATAACATATGTTTTCTATTATGGAAAAAAGTGCTTGGTTACATCATAAGGGACCATCCTCAATTTATCTAGGGTAATGATTTTTTTACGCAAGAGGTGATGGCCGAAGATATTTCAACTCTAAAAACCCAAAACGCTAGCTCTAAGAGATGGATTAGTTTCGTGCAATTATGCAATAACCACACCTCAAGCTCTGTAATACCAACTGTTATAACTGTGCAATACCATGCTCAGACTGTGTAATATCATGCTCAGACTGTGCAATACCATGCTAAGACTGTGCAATACCATGCTCAGACTGTGTAATACCATGCTCAGACTGTGCAATACCATGCTCAGACTGTGCAATACCATGCTCAGACTGTGCAATACCATGCTCATACTGTGAAATATCATGCTCATACTGTGTAATACCATGCTCATACTGTGTAAAATCATGCTCAGACTGTGCAATACCATGCTAAGACTGTGCAATACCATGCTCAGACTGTGTAATACCATGCTCAGACTGTACAATATCATGCTCAGACTGTGCAATACCATGCTCAGACTGTGCAATACTATGCTCAGACTGTGCAATACCATGCTAAGACTGTGCAATATCATGCTCAGACTGTGTAATAACATGCTCAGACTGTGCAATACCATGCTCAGACTGTGCAATACCATGCTCAGACTGTGTATTAACATGCTCAGACTGTGTGATACCATGCTCAGACTGTGTAATAACATGCTCAGACTTTGCAATACTATGCTCAGACTGTGCAATACCATGCTCAGACTGTGTAATACCATGCTCAGTCTGTGTAAAACCATACTCAGACTGTGCAATACCATGCTCAGACTGTGCAATACCATGCTCAGACTGTGTATTAACATGCTCAGACTGTGTGATACCATGCTCAGACTGTTTAATAACATGCTCAGACTGTGCAATACCATGCTCAGACTGTACAATACCATGCTCAGACTGTACAATACCATGCTCAGACTGTGCAATGCCATGCTCAGACTGTACAATACCATGCTCAGACTGTGCAATACCATGCTCAGACTGTTTAATAACATGCTCAGACTGTGCAATACCATGCTCAGACTATGTAATAACATGCTCAGACTGTTTAATAACATGCTCAGACTGTGCAATACCATGCTCAGACTGTGCAATACCATGCTCAGACTGTGCAATACCATGCTCAGACTGTGTATTAACATGCTCAGACTGTGTAATACCATGCTCAGACTGTATAATAACATGCCCAGACTTTGCAATACTATGCTCAGACTGTGCAATACCATGCTCAGACTGTGCAATACCATGCTCAGACTGTGCAATACCATGCTCAGACTGTGCAATACCATGCTCAGACTGTGTATTAACATGCTCAGACTGTGTAATACCATGCTCAGACTGTATAATAACATGCCCAGACTTTGCAATACTATGCTCAGACTGTGCAATACCATGCTCAGACTGTGTAATACCATGCTCAGACTGTGCAATACCATGCTCAGACTGTACAATACCATGCTCAGACTGTGCAATACATGCTCAGACTGTAAAATACCATGCTCAGACTGTTTAATAACATGCTCAGACTGTGCAATACCATGCTCAGACTATGTAATAACATGCTCAAACTGTGCAAAACCATGCTCAGACTGTGTAGTATCATGCTCATACTGTGTGATACCATGCTCAGACTGTGCAATACCTAGCTCAATCTGTATAGTGCCTGGCTCATAATTGTGAAATACTCATAATAAACTTACATAAATGAACAGTTAATACTTTACAACCGAATTTATAATGTATGTTTCAGATGCACTGTATACATATTTAAAGAAAAATGTTCTAATAAAACGTTTTCTAAATTATATATTTTCAGCACTACATCATACAGCATTTTCCAACACCCTACATCCATGAAGACAATATAGTGCGCAACACTCCTGAAAGATGGCAGCATCGGGCACTACTCCAAGTGACCTTGACCTTATTCCTGGAATAGATGACCAATCAGCTGCAATTCAAGCCTATTATTTATTCACCATTGCGTTTATTGGTGTCATCACAAATATATACGTGGTTGTCAGTATTCTGTTACGGAAGAGATTACGTGTCTCGAAAAGTGCATTTCTGATCCATGGATGCCTACTGAATTTAGGATTATGTTTGTATAATATCCCATTTGCAGTCAGTTTGATCTCAGAACACCGACTGCCGCCACAAGCTTGTGAAACAGTCGGATCAACTTTTGTAATAATCGTTACAACATCTGTATTCAACATGGTCGCTATCGCCAGCTCTGAAGCTTACGTATTTGTTGAACGGAATCTCAACTCGGAGCAAAGTGGCTCCATCTGTTGTGTGATTTTTAGCCTCATGACGGAATATATTGGGAGCTTGATTCTTCACCTTGGACCTACCATAATTGGTGGAACTTTCGACTACAATTCCAAAATCGGTAACTGTATGATACATTACGGAATGGTGAAAAGCTATATATCATTTGCAATGTGGGTATCCATAGTAACAGTAGCCATATTTGGTGTTACATACTACTTAGCAATGTTTTATCGTCACATAAAATCAACAGCCAGACACATGATTGACATCGCCATGGTGACATCACAAAACAATAATCTCCACGGAGAAATGACAATACAAGGGGTAAAGGACCTCATTACAAACTCTCTTAGCCGATTACGAGTTTTGGTCGGGTCAACGATTGTCTTTGTAATATGCTGGTATCCACTTTACATACTTTCAATGGTAGATTGGAATTACACACAATCAGCCGTGGCTTATAGAGTCCTTACCCTAGTAGCTTGTACATATCCAACAATATTCCCGATAATCTTAATTGTTTTTGATCGAGGGCTCAATATTTGTGGACAATGCATAGACTGGGATAGAATCTTTAACAGGAGGGGGATAACCCCCAGAGAGCGACTAATACAGCAAAGCCTGAGAGAGTCTTCCCCCAGGAGTCAACGTGTGGGGTGCAGACTCAGTGCAAAGACCCCCCTACCCCCAGTGTCATGTTGTAACGGGGGCAATATCAAACCACCACTGTGCGCCAATAGGTTCTCATACTGTGAGATGCACAGTAGCGATGTATAACGCACCAACTTTTTCATTTCGGGGGACCTTACTTTTTACAGATATATTTTCAGTACCTGCATATTGGAGCAATCATAATTTAGGCAATTTTCAAACAAAATATTTTTTGTATTTTATATGTACTTGTACATGTGGACTGAAAAATTATTTGTCGAAAGTAGAGAAAGCATACGGTCTCCCAATATGTTAAAGTGGTACTAAAATGCAAAATACAAATGTGTGATGGCACAAAACAGTAAGGTGCAACTAAGTTAAATAAACTAACGAATGTAAAATACTGCACATACTAAGGCATGAACAATTTTAATGTCAGAACATCGAGACCATCGTTAACAAGAAGATTCCTCGTGAACAAAGACAGTGATATGCAAAATCTTTTCCATATTTTAGTTAGTGAAAATATAGGATCAAATCCTATGCTAAGGGCTGATGTGAAAAAGTCACTCCACCCTTGTGGGAATCGAACCCACAGAGCATAATGATTTGTGAATGGAGGGAGGCTTAGGTTTCATAAATTCAGGGTTTCAAATTGGTAATAATGTGGACATTTTAAGAATTTCACCAAACATTTATGAAAATTGCTAAAAATTATTGCAAAAAATGAAAAGTTGTTCAGATATTGACAAGTCTGGGTTCCTATTTTGACAAATCATTAAGATCATTCTGAGCAATATCAGTTATCATACAAGCCCCTTGAACCTCAATACCCCCCCCCTGATACATGATCAGTAATCAGTCAGTGATACAAATAACAACAGTGATATTAGAAAGCCACTTATCTAACCAAGCACATTTGCAAAGCTTTCACAGGAATATCAAGTTCAGAGCAGAACAGCATTGATGCCTCGATGCCTGAAATACCAAGTTTGTACAAATTGCATAATTTTCTAGTATTTTTAAATATTTTACGTGTTCATTAAACATCTGTTTACTTGTTACATGTACTTCAGTCTTTTTCTCTCTATTTTGCATTTCAAAACAGAAATCACCATGACATTTTTCTACCAGGCTTTGGAAAATATTCAAAACTTGAATTGCTCTATACATGTAGATAGGGATAAAAAATTCTCAGTAGGGATAAAAATTTCTATAGACTCAATATAAAATATATCTTATTATTCCTAATAATTGTATATGTAATGGAATTGTTTTGTTTTTTTTGTCAGAAAAAGACTAGTCTCGGTGTGGAGAATTAAATTTGGGTGATATTTCTATATTTTTCATAAAAAAATGATTAGCGCAGTACACTGATGAACTTCTTTCTCCAAATCGAGACTTGTCTTTTATTGAATCAGTCTACTGCACATTCAACTGCTTCGGACAAATCTGATATTTTTACATCTTGTAAATGTCCCCTTTTGAATATTCATAATTTAATTTGGGTGATATTTTTATATTTTTCATTGAAAATATTATTAGCACAGGAGACTGTTCTCCAAACTGAGATTTGTCCTTTGTTAAAATATTCTTGAATACTTTTATGAATCCAATATAATATGCCATCTATAAACACCTTGTGGTATTATTCAATTGAATATTCTGACATGTTTTAACTAAATACAGATTGTTAAAAAGAACATAAGTTTTAAACCAAACTGAAAGACATCAATGACAACCAATGCTATGGTCAAACAAGACATTGATGTCACCCAAATCCATTGTCAACCAAGACACTGATGTCACCCAAATCCATTGTCAACCAAGACATTGATGTCACCCAAATCCATTGTCAACCAAGACATCAATGTCACCCAAATCAATTGTCAACCAAGACATTGATGTCACCCAAATCCATTGTCAACCAAGACATCAATGTCACCCAAATCCATTGTCAACCAAGACATTGATGTCACCCAAATCCATTGTCAACCAAGACATCAATGTCACCCAAATCAATTGTCAACCAAGACATCAATGTCACCCAAATCCATTGTCAACAAAGACATCAATGTCACCCAAATCAATTGTCAACCAAGACATCAATGTCACCCAAATCCATTGTCAACAAAGACATCAATGTCACCCAAAACCATTGTCAACCAAGACATCAATGTCATCAAAATCCATTGTCAACCAAGACATCAATGTCATCCAAATCCATTGTTAACAAAGACATTGATGTCACCCAAAACCATTATCAACCAAGACATCGATGTCAACCAAATCCATTGTTAACAAAGAAATCGATGTCATCAAAATCCATTGTCAACCATGACATCAATTACAACCAAATCTAGTGATCAACCATAATACTATGTTTACAAAGTTATCGTTTTAACATAGACAAGATACGAGTGAAATAAACGAGATTTTCATAATTCAACTTCAGTCAAAGCAATAGCATATTTGAACTCCCAATATTATGTACTGGAAAACACATCTAGGATTTAAATTATGATTTAAAAAAATGTTTATCGACTTTGTTATTATAATCATTTTAAAATGATTTATTATATCACCCAAAGACTTAAAAAAATGATTTATTATATCACTCAGACTAAAAAAACATAGAAAGTGAAATATATCTTACTCTTACGCATCATTTGACTTCAGAAAAAGTGCCATATTTTTCATGTTATTAATTTTACTTATATAAGTTACCATAATTATTGCTTGATAACAAGAATAATATTGAAATTAAACAAATAAAAATATATAAAAAACACCTCTCAATTAACACCAAGCACTTAGTGGTATAACTACTTTAATTACATTGAGAAATTTTTTAGATCATAATTGTTGTTCCTCTGAATCCATTTTTAATTTTTATATGATTTGCTTTGTTATCTACATGTACCTATTGATAGAAACAAACTAGAAATTCCAGTATGGTTTTGGTTTATGCGTAAATAGTACAGGACACTCCTTACAGTTTTTCAAGTTGAAATAATGAATTTGGCAAATGAAACCAGTGAATTCTGCAAGGAAAATTCAGTGTGACATAATTTTGGGAAGTTTTGGTGTTCTTTGAGTCACCCTGTAGATTTTTCAAAATTTCACCTACCTTGGGCCATTGCTTTCTTCTAAAACATGACGATTCAGATGCGCATTATCCAAAATTATTTTATCAATTTCAGGATTTGTCCATGTGACATAGCAAGGTAGCTGGTCTTCAGGCTACAAATAAATAAAATAAGACACACAGTGTAAAATATCCCACTTTTTAATAAGAACAATTGAAAATGGCTAACAAGTAATTCAAACTATTCAGACTTTTGCACATAAATCTACTCTTGTGTCTATGAAATTTCAAGTTAAACAAGTAAGCAAAGCAAAAAAAAAAATAAAAAAAAAATTAATAAACAAAAAAAATTTCCCGGGATTTTGATGACATTATGTCCAGTGCTTGAGCTAAGCTCCATTATTCTGCTGGTCATACGGACTGCCACTTTTAATGTATCAGGTGGTCCGTAAAAAAACTTGCTGGTCAAATGACCAGCACTTTTCAAAAAGTTACTGGTCCGTATAAAATTGAACTGGTCATACATATATTTTAAATTTGCATTGATAGCAATTATATGGCCTTGGGATAAATTGTGGTAATTCAGAACAGACAATTTGAAATTGTTAGACCCAATAACTAATGCTCCTTTGCCGTATTCTTGTATAATTTTGCAACTGGGGCAGACCCCGGGGCCGCCTGAGCGGCACCCCATTTGGCTCTGCAAATCTTACAATACATAAGTTCTTTTTGTTGATCGTACAAGACCCATTCGTGGGTCTTTTGCCAATGCTGACAGAATTTACGCTTGCGTTTTTGTTCCTCGTATTCCTTGTCATACCGCTGCTTCTTTTTGGGGATGACCTCTTCTGTTTTAGTGTTGTTTTTGTCACGTTTTTGAGCAAAATTAAAAATATCAAAAATTTTGGGCATTTTTGATACTTCCGGTATTTCGGCCAATCAAATTCCTGGAGACACATACCCTAGCTGTTTCCTCGAGAAACTGATTTTAGACCAATCAAAATCTTCGAATTATATCATGTTAAATTACTCGCTTTAGCGAAAACGGAGAGGAAACTAAAAATGAAATTTCGAAAACTTTTTCATCAAATTGATGATTCAGAATCATTGTATTCAAGGTAAGCAAATTGTACTTAAAGAAGCTATTTCGTTTTTGTGCCGGACATTCATAAGTTGTGGTAATCTGAGATATGGTGTCCATGCCGGTCAAATTGACCATCAGTTTTTAAACTCAGCTGGTCCGTTCTATGAATCAGTGTCAGTCATGACCGACGGACCGACGCTTAGTTCAAGCACTGATTATGTCATGAAAAATTGCTCTGACAGTGAACTTCGCCACTAGTACACTCTGACAGCCATTTTGAATTTTCTGAGGCAAAACAACAGGTCACCCATGTGAGCTAAAAATGATACAAGTTTATTTAACTCTAACAACTAAGTCCCCATTGAAAACATTTACCTTTATCCATACTGCATCATTCATGGAGGAGAAAGGCACTGGCGGTTTATCACCATACACAGCATCGAGACTAGAGACATCTATAGTCCTTGAATCTAACCTTGGTGGTGTACCTGCAGTTATATACAAGGCATAAACATGCAAAATACACCACTAGCCATTTGTTACATACACTGACCACCAACTGCCAATCACCAAACACTGTCCACAATAAGTTGAAGACTATAACAATATGTGCCTGACATAAAAATGTATTGGCCAATTTTTGAAGAACCCTAAATCACTATCAGCTCACATCCGGATTACAGATGATTTTACAGTTTATTTGGCCTTTTCATGGCCTTTTTAGGGCACACATGTGAACTAAACATGCCTGGCTTTTTCTTGCCTTTTTAAGATTTTGTGATTTTTCTATAACTGTATTTTGCAATATTTTAAGATATATTTTGACTTACACAGAATTCTGCAAGATATCTCAATTCTAAAATAAACATACCTGTCTTTAACCTTCCCAGAACAAATCCCAGTTTATCTAGGGTATTAGCGAGGCCAACAGATGGCGCATCACCCATACGTCCTGCAGGAAACACATCTAAACCAATCGTTATATTTCCACGGAGAAACGTCCCAGTAGTCAACACAACAGACTTGCCGTGAACTATTTCATCAGTACCTTTAAATATAGATAATTCTTAATTGTTAAATCACAATAACAGGGGTTTCACTTGAATTTCTCACAACAGGCTAAATAAATGAAAACTACAGGCAAAATTAATGGAAATCATAAATTTAACATGGAAAAATTGAAAAGTCCATAAAAACAACAGGCAGTGAAAATCGCCTGTTGCCTGCTGCTAACCCCTGCAATAAGTAAAGTGTGTGCCTGGTATAAGTTTAAATTTAAGATTTTAAGTGGAGTGACAACTCTTTGATTATATTATATTATTCATTTTATACCATGATACTATTTCTTCCTGGTGAATAACACCAGAGGATATAATTGAATTGTGTAAACCGATGACCCACTTGACATCAAATAACCTAATTTATGAAATGCAATCTGGATTTCTTAAAGAACACAACACTCAACTCCAACTAACTGCTATAACAAACTACATTCTTCAAAATTTTGAAAATGGTCTCGATGTTCGAGCAATATTTTTGGACATTCAATCAGCCTTCGACAAAGTCCCTCATGCACTCCTTCTTCAGAAAATCAAATCCTACGGTATCCCAAAATCACTAATTGACCTTTTTCAATCTTACCTCACAAACAGAACAATTAAAATTAAGATCAATGATGAATTTTCTAGGTCAAGTAAAGTCGGTCAAATCAACTCTGGAGTCCCCCAAGGCTCAATATGGGGACCGATTTTCTTTTTGTTATATCTAAATGACGTAACGGACGACCTTAACTCTAAATGTTTTATCTATGCGGATGACACGTCACTTTTTTGTCCGGTTGACCCAATAAATCACCAAACAGATAGCCAAGTTCTTCAAGAAGACTTAATTCATATCCAAATGTGGTCCCAGAAATGGGGACTAACTTTCGCACCACAAAAAAGTCACGAGTTGATCTTTAAAACAAATAGACCAATTGAGAGAACATATCCTAAGTTTGTTTTCAACGACACTCCAATAGATCAAATTAAACATCATAAGCACCTCGGTCTAATTCTTGATGAAAAGTTAACCTTCAAAACCCATATTGAATATCTAGAAGGTAAAGTTCAAAAATTATTAAATCCACTTATGGCACTTAAGCATAGATTAAATTCCAAACACCTGGAAAAAATTTACTCTTCCTTTATCCTGTCACATCTGGACTATTGTGATATCATTTATGACGCTGCTCCAGCTACCAGCCTAGCCCAGTTAGACAAGCTACATTATAGGGCAGCTGTTATTTGTTCTGGTGTTATGCAAGGAGCAAGCACAGAAAAAACCCTTGAAATATTAAATTGGGATAATCTTCAAAATAGACGGGATGAACATAAATCCGATCTTTTTGACCATAATTTCTCTTTCATTAACGATCCATATTGTGACTGTGGAGCTCGAGAGACAGCACAGCATGAACTCTTGTCCTGCCCTCTGAGAGAAACAAATGCGCTAGCGGTGGTTAAACATGAACTAAACTTAGATGTTACTAAATACAAAACATTAAAAAATAAGACAAATTTCCTACTTTTTGGCGACAAAGATCTGACAAATGAAAACAATTCCAAAATCTTTAAGGCAGTTTTGAATTTCATTAAATAATCGATAACAGCAATTCAAATTCAGGGCACCAACGGGGGTACAGACAGGTAGAAAAACAGATAGTATCTAAATTATATATTTTTCTTACTCTAATAATGACTTTGACTAAATGTTATATTATATTGTATTTTAAATTCACTTAAAGCGGCAGTAGAAATGCCCTTTCAGGGCGATTACGCCGTGAATAACAATGAAAATGTATCTATGATTTTAAGAAATAAAGAGTATTTATTATAAAAAAAAAGAAAAAAAAAAATATATATAATTGATATTTTATTCGAAACTTTTTTCTTTTTCAAAAACTTCATTTTCTGGAAAGGTTTATTTTTTTCAATCAATTCTTTAATAATTATACTTTAACAAACGTGTAAAATGTTCATATTAAAATATATTAAATATTAATCCTAATCAATATCATTAAATATCATGAAAAATATTCATATGTTTATAAACATACAATTTACATTCATGTACATGTAATTCCGATTACTTTTACATTGATCATCTTGTGATATTCAAATCACAACTCAATCATTTAATATCAAGTTATAAAACACTTATTTTCTTGTTGGGTATTGGATATCATGGATTTAATACTGATCAATATGATATTTCGAATGTCACCCAGTAGAAAATAACCCCACATCCATTTGCGAACGTCTGACAATGAGCTATGGACAGAATCCTTTTTTTGAATAAGTTAGAGTAGGATTCAGCAACCAATTCTGGAAAAAATCTGAAATAGAGGCCTGTTCCGAAAACAAGACGATACCAACAAAGCGTGCACATTTTCTAAAATGCGATAAAAGTATAATAAACGGGAAATAAAAGTGCAAACCTGATAAGACAACACCAACGCATGTGGCCTGATTAGTGTCTCCATCTATCTTTAAATCCTCCACCCCGGCAGCTCTGATTGTAAGATTGTCTGTCTTGAATACTTCTGCCTGGAGGAACTTCTTATAAAGCTTCCGATCTATCTGAGCTCTTGGGCCCTATAAGATTTACATTCTAATTTTATATTGTTGAAAGTGAACACTACAGTACCAACTCATCCCCAAACAGAATATTGGTTGAACTTGTTTTTTTGGACAACAGACATCAATATTTTCCCCCAAGATAAGCCAATGCAATTAATTTTTACGTTAATGACTTTCCCTCTACTGTATCACTATAAATAGAGTCGATGTTTCAGACTATTTCAAAATATTTACGTGGCATATTTTTCTGCAGTTAAATGTGAAAATTCAGAAAAACTTGCCAAATACAAGTAGAGACTCAATATCCTCGATTATTTTTTAGAGGACTTCATGTAAGAAATACCAAATCATTCAAAAATTTACCACATAGCAAGTGAATCTCTCATAATCTATAAAAATGGGTAGATTTCAATTTACATGTGGGAAAGCGTAGACACAAAATGTTTCTTCTCTAAATTACAAAAGTAAATGAATTACAAATGTACATGAAGATTTTCCAAAATTTAAGCTTTAGGGTTGTACTCTTTTGTGTCACCCTGTAGATTGGGTTGTATGCACTATGCATTCATGTATGACTTAAGTACATTATTCAACATCTTATATATAAGTTATTTTTTGTTAACTCACCCAAACTGCAGGTCCTTTACTTTTGTTTAGCATCACATACTGCAGCCCAGATACATCTAAAATACAATTCATTATTCCACTTAGTACTAGGTTTAGTTATTATTCCACTTAGTACCAGTTATTTTTCCACTTAGTATTAGTTAGTACCAGTTAGTTTTTTATAGTCTACTAGATAACAAATAAAGAGAAAACAGGATTGAAAAATCAGGAGAAAATGGTTCTGTTTGGGTTAAAAACTGGAAAATCAGTGAGTTCTTAAAAAATCAGGAGAAAACAGAAGGCTTAATAGTTTTACTCTAGGACAAAATAAGGCATTTTAAAGGCATCATTTTTTATCAGTAAGTTTATTTCCTTGGGACACAAAAGTATACAGAACATCTGCTACCTTCCCTATTTAAATTTGCCTCACCTATTTACGTTCGCCTCACCTATTTGAATTTGCCTCACCTCTTTGAATTTGCCTCACCTATTTAAATTTGCCTCCCCTATTTAAATTTGCCTCACATATTTACATTTGCCTCCCCTATCTAAATTTGCCTCACATATTCAAATTTGCCTCACATATTCAAAGGACGATTCTCGGTTTGGAGAACGAAGTTCATCAATCTAAATGAGCATTATCCCTGCTTCGGACAAATTTGATTTTTTTTACATAATATAGATTTGAATGTCCTCTTTTGAATAGTCATAATTTAATTTGGGGTAATATTTCTAGATTTTTCGCAAAAAAATATTAGCGCAGTACACTTATGAACTTCTTTCCCCAAATCGAGACTTGTATTTAATTGAATCGGTCTAATTGAGCGTTATCCCTGCTTCAGACCAATTTGTTATTTTTACATCTTGTAGATTTAAATGTCCTCTTTTGAATATTTATAGTTTAAATTGGGTAATATTTCTATATTTTTCATGAAAAAAATTATTAGCCCAGGAGACTGTTCTCCAAACTGAGAATCGTCCTTTGCCTCACATATTTAAATTTGCCTCACCTATTTGAATTTGCCTCACATATTCAAACTTGCCTCACATATTTAAATTTGCCTCACCTATTTGAATTTGCCTCACATATTCAATTTTGCCTCACATTCAGAATTTTGCCTTGTTTAATTCTAGATCTTAGCTATGCCCAAGCCTACACAGCCAATATAATTCGACGCCGTTTCGGCATCGAACAAATTCGGCACCGTTCCGGCACCGTTTCGACACCGTTCCGGCACCGAAACTTTTTGACACCAAAATTTGCTACCAGACTAGTCAGTCCATTTGGTGCCGAAACGGCACCGAAATTTGGCACCGAAACGGCGTCGAAAATCAGATTGCATTTTGGGGATGTACAGCTATGTAATTGTTAGAGTATAAGGAGATAGATATTTGCAAAGCTTACCACATATTCGTCCACAAACTCCATCAAGAGCATCGACTTCTCTCATCAGATGACCCTTACCTACACCACCAAATGAAGGATTGCATGACATTTCACCTGAAACATACGGAGACATCAAAGTGTAGGATAAATAGAGGTTACTTAATGGGAGGTGTTTGATACAGGGTATATCTGAGGGAAATACAATATATCTTCCCAAGTGACCGTAGGGATAGAGGGTTGATGTATTATATTTACCGAGGGATATACTCTGTATCAAAAATCGAGCAATTAATAACTGATTTATTCTATACTTAGTAGATTATGAGGAATAATAGCCAAGTCCCCTGCTGGCTCAGTATCTACTCCCTGAATTTGTGATGTCATAGATCTGATGAGTGGGTGATATCATCGGGTGATATATACATGTATATCATTGCTTACATCACATATCAATTATATTCCTGTATCTTATTTACCTATAACACTACTAAGTATGTAATAAAGTACCATATCTCATGGTTTAAAAGCAATATTTGTTGGTTAAGTGGAAGTTTGCCAAAGATTGGATTTTTATCACTGGTTCCAAAAATACTGTTTAATTTTTACAACCCACAAATATCATAGTAACTATAGAATAAGGTATTGATATTTGATTGTTTTTGTTTATTTAGTGGTGTTTTTCAGTTATTACCTAGCAACCTAGCACCACTGTTACCAGTTTTAACAACATTGTTTTTCAGTTATTCCCTAGCACTATTTTTACCAGTATTAACAACATTGAACCTGGGAATCAACACAATGCTTTAATTAAAAACTTCATGTTAATTAAACCATGGGCTTAAGCTCATGATTAAACATATATATCATTTTTACAAATCTAGTTCTTAAACAATTTTTTATTCTCATAAAAACTGTTATGATCCGAGTGTTTCATCTAAATTATTGCCCAGATATGTTGAAACATATATCCCATCAAAAGTGTGACATTGAGTCAAAAGTTTACAGCTTAGTTGAAATCTAAAATTTCAATGTATTTACCTATTGTTTCTAGCTTGTGAGTGAGAAGGAGGGTATTTGCTCCCATCCTAGCAGCAGCACAGGCAGCCTCTGTCCCAGCATGCCCTCCACCAACCACAATGACATCATAAATTTTACTTGCTGCGGAATGTAGGGATCTTGACTTCAGAAGAAACTGACTCTGTTGAATTACTCTCAGAAATGTTCGTCTCTTGCACCAGTTCATCTAAAACAGACATTCAGTGCACTGTGATGCTAACGGTTTTGCAGATTGTATGTGCAGAAAATGTGTATATGTCACCAAAAATCTTTACCCTAGTATATTGTGACACTTATGAGAAAATACTCGGTGCAGATATCTCATTAGCCTTGCCCAAGTCGGTATTTTTTTAATTGTCTGATCTTGAATTATTACCACCTTGTACAATCTAATGAATCGTTGCTGATAAGTTTCGAGTTTTCCATAATACCTACGTTGTAGGTGGTATTGCAAAACCATATTGATTGACAAGATCGCGTCGACACAACGTGTGACTTCAGGCTAATTGACCAATCAAAACGTTTTCAGGTTTACCCGCATAAACAAAGCAAACTACCTGTCTATGACTTAGAATTCAATGATCTGATCGAGTATTTCTTCAGACGGAGATACATTATATTATTAGTAATTAATAAATGTATTGGAATGTAAACAGTCATTAATGTAAATTAAATCATGCGATTCAATGTTGATGTAAAACTGAATTCGTGATGAAAATGCACTAAGACTTAGTCCATGTAGTCGTCAATCTGATTCAGTGATGAATCTCAGCCTGGATCTAAAAAGCTATCACCTTCGACATGGGCTTTCAATTAGAAAGCCCATGCCTTCGATCACTAAACTCTGATTGATATTTATCTGATAAAATATTTGTATTTTCATGATGAATTAGGCAAGATTTGTTCATGAAGAGTGTACTTGTTTTGTATAATAATGAGCTAACGCTGCAGGGCCGTCATTGATTGGTCAAATTTACCCACATAAACATTGGGCCGGTTAAGCAAGTGGCTGTCTCATTGGTACAAGGCAGTCATAATAGAAATAAAAAATATATAAACGCGTACAAAAAATTGATCACGGTCTGGTTTGCATGTATCCAACACACTGAATAACATAGGCGGTTTAGGTGGTTATCCCCAACCAGAATCTTGAAGAAAGAAGAAGTAGTAATACAGATGTCGACTCGCTATTTTATACATGTTCCCGGGGCCTATGCTGAATAAGATTCAGTCTGAACAGATGCCATTGTAAATGGTCTGGTGTTCAAAAATAAAAGCAAAATCAAAACACACTTTTCAAATTGCACGGCAGCGGAGGAGCTTCCTACTTCAAAAGGTGCTTTGTGTCGTAGTGTAGGTTATTTACTCATATCGAGCCATCATGATAAACCATTACATCTCATCATTTCTTCTCAGCCCTAACTAATTTTGTAAAACTTTTTCAAGCTCTTCAAACTGGAAACAAGCACACAGAACGAAAATGCGTATTAATATAATCCTCGGGAGGAATCATTTTGAAGAAATATCTCGACTTCAAATTTATTTCGAATTTTCTTTACAGCTCAGAAGTCATAATGATATTGTGTTTAAGGTTTTGGTATAGTGGATACTGCAAAAGTTTATGAAGATAAAATTAAATAACCCCGGGCTTCTTTTCGTTTAATGTAAAATTTCTGTCCTAACGAGTCTCAGCTTTCGTCTAAATTAGAAATGGAAAAGTTTGTTCGAAAACTGTTCAAAAACTCTCCAAACGTAGGGTAAGTGTGTACAATTGTACATAAATACAATAATTTATATACGCTATTTATACCTAGAATTGAAAGAATACTAAATCAAAAGATGTTATGTGGTACGTAAGATGAAATCATCCGAGATAAATTTAAAAAAATTTCTGGCGGGCTTTTTCGATGTTTTCAAAATTCACTTACTTATTTGAGACGTTCGGGCACGATTGCCCCGCTCAACTTCAATTACCTCGTCAATGATAACACATCCGTTATAGAATGATGAGAGTTGTTGAGACAGGAACCCACTTCCAACGACTTGTTGCAAAGAATGACATTCGCAGCCATCAAGTGTTCAAGATTTTATTAGGATCTGACAGTGGGGAACAGATACCTGCTGGTTATGATCTTAGAACTCTAGCTGGAGAGAGAAAGGGATTAGGCGCAGTTACAAATGCCAAGATCCTAAGAGAATTTCAGATATACATAAGAGACTCTAAGAGATTCTAGGAGAATCTACAGTGTATATAGTGTAAATAAACCAGTTGCTAAAAACACAAAAAAAAACACAAAAAAAAAATCAATTTTAGAAAATCTGAAATATAAACATTAAAATGCCAGCCACAATAAGCCACATTAAAGTAACAAGTGAAAAAGTAACGATGTGCCAGTAATTAGTGTCAAAAAAGTACATAGAGACTAATCAAGCAGCATAAAAGTGCTTACTGGATAGAAAGAAAGATAATAAAGCAGACCATACATATACAGTACTGTAGACCTTATCAAATGAATAGAGAAACCACACAGGAGTTCATATTGTAATGACCCTTGACAGCATGTTGCTATTACACCCAGGGGGTTCACTGTGTATAAAGCTTGACGGGGATCCTCGGGGCACATGGGATACCTTTTTTGACATTTGGTGTGGCAATGGACCTAAATTTTAGGATCTGTTATGAGAATGCCCCCCAAATTATTAATTTTGAGGACAGGTATGGCAATGGTCTGATTTTTCCATTTTCTGGTATGGAAAATAATGTTACCTCACACTTGTGGTATGGCATTGGTCTAGTAGCAACATATATCCTTAATTTAAGGTTGTTTTGGATTATTTTTCTCAAAGGTCTGCCTTCTTCTCGGGGCCTTCAGTTTGAATATTCGATTTTTTTCTCTGATGGTATATGGCATTTGTCCTATATTTAGGTATTTGGTATGGCATTGATCTTATTGTTATTAGACATTTGGCATGGCTTTAAGGCGTTGTTTTGGTTGGTATGGGAACATATTGAAATTTAACAAATTGGTATGGGAACATAACGATATCTGAGGGTTCAGCCTAGAACCCATGTCAAATTTTGTATACAGTGAACCCCCGGGTTAGTACAGTCTCGACTATAGTGGCTAGCCCCTTTGGCCAAAGCGGTAAGCATTAGTATCATACTCGGGGGGTCCTGGGTTGGTTCAACTCCCGCAATGAGCATTGTTGTCAGATGTGGGATCAAAGCTTTGGTTGTATCCTCTGAACCTGTGTGTGTGTGTGTGTGTGTGGTAAATCACTGCTAGGAAATGCAGGACTGACAATGAGGGCGTGGTCCTTTCAAAGGGGGAAGTGTAACGACCCTGGATAGCAAGTTTCTACTTGGTTTAAGCCTTTATTGCTCAAAGCATCAGTCTTTGGATCTAAGGGTCCTAAGTTTGATTCCCACATGAGACGTTGAATTTAGCACACTTTCTTTCAATATCTGTTTCTGGCTAGGTAGTCATTGTAAAAGTCTACCTTGTGGATTAATTCCAAAATAAAAGACCAAGACCCTTGATGGAGTTACATTGTCAATGAAGGTTTTAACATCAAACCATCAAGTCTTAAATTGGTAAGCATCCCAAAATCCCTTCAAACGGTGAAATCTTACATGCATCGTTTGCTTCCAGGTAAAGCCTCCAAGATACAGTATTTGAGTGATCCTTCGCTGCAAACTCGCCATAACATACATTTTGAAAAGGAAAAACAGCATTCCCACGAGGCCTAATTCATATGGTTTTGATTGGTTGACAATCTTGATCCATTGCTATATTCAGTAGATATTAAACTGGCCGTGTCTCTCCATATTGAATATTGACTTGTTGAATAGAGCTTCACAAAAATTACAATTTGAAATCTATACAGATTTAACACTTTATTGCAATAAGGTATCAATAATACATCAATAATGGATCCTGTTGTTCTGAGTTACCATGACAGTTTGGTGCGAGAATCTGATGTCACATTGATCGATGCTCCTAATTGGCTGAATGACACAGTCATAGGTTTCGCATTTGAATACTTTGAGAATGAAACATTGAAGGACAAAAATGCCAATATTTGTTTCATTAGCCCAGAAGTGACGCAGTTTATAAAACTTAGTCCAGTTGAAGAGGTTGGGATGTTTCTGGAGCCATTAAACCTCTCAGAAAAGGACTTGATATTTCTGGCTGTGAACGATAATGCATCTGATGTAACTGGTGGATCTCACTGGAGTTTAATGGTCTATAGTGCATCCAGCGCCACCTTTATGCATTTTGATTCCTGTGGACAATCAAATGGAAACATTGCCAAAAATGTTGCAAGTAAAATCAAAAATTTTACTGGAAATAATGCATTTAATTATACTGAATGCAAATCACCAAAGCAGAGTAATTCGTATGATTGTGGCATGTACGTCATTTGCAATACTGAAAAAATCTGTGAGAATTTTCTTTCTGGCAAATCACTGGATCATTTGGATGAAGTTACTTCTGATTATGTAAGGAACTATAGAGCTAGACTAAAAGACATTATTGGTTCGCTTGTGAAATAACTTGTTTTTGTCCCAATATCAGAGCTGTAGCCAGGGCCAAAAATAGGCAAGGAAAAATGAACATTAAGAGGATGTAATTCTGCTTCTTTTTCACAGTTGAGTAAAAAGTTTGAATTTTACTTATTTTGATCAAATTTTGGTGAGGCACCTGCTCACCTCATGCCCGGCTACAACAGATGTAAAACAATTTTACCAATAAAAATAATCTCTTAAAATAGTCTATAGGAATGATGCTTATCTATGACATGTATACACACAATTTACTAATGTTTATTATACTCATGTAATACACAACATTTGTTGCAAACATTTGTATGTTAAGTCTTGAATTTTCAGTAGGCCTATTCTGAATTAGTGATATAACAATCAGTTGATGCCGAGCTTGGAATATACAATTAATTGGCAATATGTAGGTGAGGCAACTTGAAATAGGCGAGGCAAATTCAAATAAGAGTAGCAAAGATAAATAGGGGAGGCAAATTGAAATAGGTGAGGCAAATTGAAATAGGGGAGGCAAATTGAAATAGGTGAGGCAAATTGAAATAGGGGAGGCAAATTGAAATAGGTGAGGCAAATTGAAATAGGTGAGGCAAATTGAAATAGGGGAGGCAAATTCAAATAGGGGAGGTAAATTCAAATAGGGGAGGCAAATTGAAATAGGTGAAGCAAATTGAAATATGGGAGGCAAATTGAAATAGGGGAGGCAAATTGAAATAGGTGAGTCAAATTGAAATAGGTGAGGCAAATTGAAATAGGTGAGGCAAATTGAAATAGGGGAGGCAAATATAAATAGGGGAGGCAAATTCAAATAGGTGAGTCACATTCAAATAGGGTAGGTAAATTGAAATAGGTGAGGCAAACAGGCAAAACTCGAAGTAGAACAATATTATACTTCTATGGGATAATAGATTTTTAGATGCAGTAAAACTAAACGCCTAAATTGTAATATAGAATATTAGTAGACTTATGCCTTGCCTACTCATAGGCAGTACATAATAACGCAGATGCGAGTAGGTAGTTACCAATTTCACCACCAGGTGGCTCGTTCGGGTCAGATAGCATGGCGGGTATAGTAGAAAGTTCCCTTTAACTTAAATTACATCTGTTTTAGTGGTTCAATTTTTATATAACCTTTATGTATCTAATAGTTATGCAAATTAAAAAATGTCCAGTAAAGGAAAATGTTATTTGTCGATTACAAGAAAAGATATTTCACTTTTTGTGACTTTGTAACATGGGGTGTATGGGGATTCAACCCGAACTAGAAATCACATTTTCAAAATAAATAAAATTTTCAAAGTTGATAAACAATTTTCGAAACCATACTTCTAGATGCACTTTTACATGTAGATTTCAAATATGACATCACTTTGACTGAATTTTGAATATTTTGGGACATAAATCAAGATTATTTCTACTCGCATCTAGTCTATTCACATATATTTTAAGTGAAAAATTTTTTTGACTAGATACAGGGGTTTTGCTAGAATTTCTCACAACAGGCTAAATAAATGAAAATAAGAGGCAAAATTAATGGAAATCGTAAATTTAATATGAAAAAGTTGAAAAGTCCCTAAAAGCCCCTAAAAACATCAGGCGATTTTGTGAAAACAACCAGTGAAAATTGCGGGTTGGTTGTTCCTAATGAAACCACTGAGATATATGTTAAACTGTTATTATAACTTTTTAAAGAATAAAATAAATGAATGCTCATTATATAACTGTTTGTGTTCATTTTCTTAAACTAAAGTGTGCTAGCAATGAAAAAGATCAGATTATCACAATATTCTGGATTTCAGAGTCAATAGGATTATCCCAATTTTGATTGATGTATGGACCAAATCTCTCAATATTATACTATCACCAGCAAAAAAACAACAAACAATATGGACACATCCACACAATAGTCCTATGATATTGAGAAATGTTAAATAAAAAATCGTCAAAATTAAAACTGCCAAATAGGCCTAGTAAGTTCATTCAAATTCATGAACTTGCAAACCACCAACAGTACCTTCTTGCATCTCTTTTTATGTTTAATGTATTTTGCCAAAAGTGACCCTCTCTTTTAGCACTTTTCAATTTTGAATGTACATATATCTCAAATCAATTTAGGTTGAAAATAGATTTAATACTTTCACAAAGGTAGACTATACATGTATTATAGTATTCATAAAATACCTCATAAAATCTATTGTAATGTAATGAGTCATTTTAAAAGGAAGTACATGTAGATTGAATAGCAATGCATTGGGAGTAAGTTTTGTGAACAGTGTTTGGTGGTTGGCTTTTGGCATTCAGTATCTGTAACAAATGACAGGTGGTGACAATTTGCATGTTTATGCCTTCTTAAAGATCGCTTGCATCTAACATTTTGCACTCTATTAATTGTACTTCCTTTGAGCAAGCTCAGGACAAATATTGATATTTACCCACACATATGATATGACATTTAAAGGAAGGGTAAAGATCCATTACGTTTTGTTACACTCTATGCAGATGGTTCAGTGATCTCCCCAGCATTAAAGCAAGTGGGTGCAGCACCCACCTGGGATTATAAAAAAGGCTTGCACCCATCTAAAAATCCTTTTGAACCCACTTGAAAATGAGAAAAATGGGCATATTTTGACCAATTTTGGTCTGATTTGTGAAAATGAGAATTTTGCAACCAAAAAAGACAAAATCTTGTGGAGAACACTGTGGTTCTTGCAAAAATGGTGTGGTGTGGTTGATATCAAGTATTTATACAACTTCTTTTTTATCTATTCATAAAATATCACAAATTCAAATAAAAAAATAATTGGTTCCGTATCGCACAGGCATGATATCCAAGAGTGTTTTCTGTAAGCTTTCATGAATTTTAAAAGGAAATGGCTTTTTATTAGAAAAAGTCCCAATCATTTATTAGGAAGAATATTAGGGACTATTTCTAACATTTTATAGTGAATTGTGATATTTTATAGTAGTTATACATAGCTTTGGATATATAATAAACAATGGGAAGCACTAGTAGAAGGAAATCTACAAGTAAAAAGAGAAAGTATTACCCTAGCAAGAAAGAAAGTAGTGAATCTCAACCAAAAAAAGCAAAAATATCTGAAGAAAAATCAAAGAAAAAATCAGCTTCGTTTGCTAAACTTGGACAGTCCAAAATCAGTCAGGACTTTGATGAAGATGTGACATTATCTGGGTATAGGTTTGTGGACACTGTATTGTTTCATGAATTTGTGAAACAATTTCCTTGCCCCGCATGTGGAGAACGCTTTGGGTCAGATCTATCTGAAAAGCGGATTGGCCAAGCATGTATATTCACCTTTGTGTGTGAATCTTGTCGTCACAGTATTGACTTCTGCACATCAGAAAAGTTAGGGACGCATAATGGACTATATGATGTTAACAGGAGACTTGTTTTGTCAACTTTCGCCATTGGGGGTAACCGCTCTAAAGCGCAGCGATTTCTAGGAAATATGAATATGCCTCAGCCACAAGCAAAGGTTTCGTGGAATCGGCACAAGAAGAGAATCCTGACTGCTACACGAAAGGTAGCCAAGCAGTCTATGGCATCTGCTGTTACAGAGGCTCGGGTTTCTATCAACCCAGACTGTCATCCTAATGACATTATTGACATGACATTACCGTTGGATGGTTCCTGGCAACGAAGAGGCTTCTCAAGCAAAAATGGAGTAGTTACGGCCCTTACTGTCAATGGGCAGAACTGTAAAGTTGCGGACACTCACACTATGTCGAACTATTGTAACCAATGTTCAAAGAACAAAAGTAAACTGTCAGAGGCTGACTTTACAGTTTGGAAAGAGGCTCACATAGCTGCAAATGAGTGCCAACAGAACCACATAGGTAGTGCTGGTTCAATGGAGCCAGCTGGTACAGCAACTATCTTCAACAGGTCGCTAGTTGAACATAGTTCAAGATATACAGGATTTTTAGGAGATGGCGATAGCAAAGCATATAAAACTGTCGCAGAAGCAGATCCCCCGATATATCCAGATGTTGATATAACAAAACTTGAGTGCACAGGCCACATACAAAAGAGGATGGGGAAACGCCTGTTAGATAAGGTGTCACAACTGAAAGCAACCCCGTTTGTCGATGATAATGGTAGGCCAGTGAAAGGCATCGGTGGCGTAAATAAATTGACCAAAAAGGCTATCAAATCCATTCAAGGACATTTTCATAACTTGATTTGGGAACGAGTTCCCAAGACACAATTCGTCGGGCGCTCCCGTCTCGAAATCGGTGTATATGATGCCACTATAGTGTTCAATGATGGAGAATTGGGAAGGATACCCATATTTGAACACCTGTTGATGCCAGGAGGCTATTATACTCTGAAAGCAATGGCAGCAATTGATGGGAAACGTGTAGATTATGCATATATCGCTGGCTGTAATGCTATAATTCGCGCGCGACGCAATAGGATGCTTCGCCCTGACAATGACAATTATCTAGCAGGTGGACATTAAATTCCATAATATTATGATCATGGACCTCTATGTGCCTTATATGAAGATACTGGTTTAATCAAATTGATATTTTGACTTGAAATCTATGTCAGATCTCCATTTTTAAGAAAAAAAAAATAAAATTCTTACTAAAAGCTCGATTTCTCAAAAGCGCATTTTTTCCGACAAGAAATTTTACTTCAAATTAGATATCTCGAAAAGTATTAAAGCTTTTTTGTTCAAATAAAAAGCAAGTTAATCTTTCCTCTATCTAGCATGTGGTAAATGTCTGAACTAAGTAAATAAACACATTTGAACACTTCAGAAAGTAGCATAGTATGGTAGGGGGTCAAACATTTTCTGAAATATTTTTCTTCACCAACAATTAATATTCAAAAACAAAGTTGTTCAACATTTTTCCTAAGATATCTGATATTCACCACATAGATAATGATATGAACTAATAATATAGCAAGTTTTACAATGTTCTGATGACTTGGTGCAGAGATATCATATTTGAAGTAAATGACCATTTATTTTGCTTTTTTCGCTATTTTCATGTTTTTCCATGACTTCACACTAGCCTTACATGAAATATATAATAACTTGGAAGAATATATTTGATTTTCTATGTAATATAAACTATATAGTGCATAAAGAAACATAAAGAATAGCTGTTTGGCCCAACACAGGCTCTCAATTTGGCAACATTCTGACCTAATGTTCAACAGTTGTCATTTTTCGATAAATGCTAATTTGCCAAAATTCATAACCAAAATCTAGTAATTCATTTGATAAAAAATGTAATTTTATATGTACAATGAATATAGTGATCAATAAAGTTATCAAAATGCAATATATGTACACAAAATACATGTTTATAAGTTATTTGTATACAGAAATCGACTGAACCCCCAAAATGAATGGTGGCCATTTTGAATATGCAAATGACCAAATAAAAAGCTAATTAGGTTCAAAAATTTAATTTCACAAAAATTATATTGATCTAATAAACAATGTGTGAAAATTTGAAGCAAATCCATCCACTCTTAAAAAAGATATATCATTATATCCAGAAACAGAAAAAATCTGTTTTTGGGGGGTAAACCCTTGCCTTAAAGGGTGACACATATCGTTTAGCAAATCGAACGCTCGTTTCTGGTGTTGCTCACCGTTTAGTATAAGAGGCCCGATCCCGGAATAATACTCAAGGGTTCACAGATTCGAGTTCGTTGTGTCAACACCTCTAACTGTTATATAGCATAAGTATATTATAGATCGTCACACATTTATAAAAGGGTGATTTTTATTTTGACAAATCAATTCCACATTTATAGGTGAAGTTTCAGGATCTTCTATTTGTGTACAATAAGGAAAAATTGGCATCTAAATTTCCCCATAACGTAATAGCACACAGCTTGGCATATGAAATATCCTACAAATGAAACAAAGCGAGACAAACCGGTTTCTAATACAAGGATTTATATTGGCTGTTGTACATGTATTCTTTGAACGCAATCACTCTGGATAACGTTTTCAAAATCATTATAAACGGATTACTTTATCTCAAAGACAATTTCAATAAACTGGATTTTACAGAACTCCCCTTATTTCTTAAAAATGGACTGATCCAGTTGATTCGCCTGGAGCCGCCATGTTGTTTTTATACGGGATGCTAATCGGAACCCTTTAAAGAAATAGTTTTGCTAGAGATAATATATACTTAACTAGCTATGCCAATATTTACACACATGATCACCCAAGTTAAAGTTAAACAGCATAGAATAAAGACATATTTATAGTTACTTAATAAAAGATTCTCACAATTTTATAATATGTTTTGTTTGCAACATTCCGTTTTGCCTGTTTTCTAAACAGACCATCCATCTGACAATTTTGGTTTTATTTCATGACAACACTTTGTTTTTAGGTCATTTGGTAGGTTTCCTGAAAACTGTCCTTCCTCTTTTTAATTCTAATGAATTGTGACATTTCTTCGTCTTAGATCTATAATAACCTCTTGATTTGATCAATATCTTAATTTTTCCCCAGATAATAGAATTTAGATTAAAATGGAAATGGGACCAAATTCTTCGAAAAAAAATTTCCCCCAACATTTTTTCACTCTTTATTCTTTTCTGCCCCTTTAAGTCTTCATTTGTTCTGTCATCTATTTCTAGAGCCCTGACTCAGAAGATCGTCAGACAGAAATATCTGGAGCACTTTAATATACAAACCCTGGTACAACAAGACAAAGAAAAACTAAAAGAAGCTGTGTTGAAGATCTATAATGAAGGTGTCCTACCACAAGAAGAACAGGTATGTATACCCTGACCCATCAGTTAGAATCACCAACCTCTAACAATAACACTTAAATGTTTGATCACATTTCATTTGGCTTTAAAAAATACATTTCCCATAATAACCATATATTCAATTTTATCAACTTTCGGAATTTTAACAATATCTCCATAACTATGTTTAACCATCATTTTAATTCTTGAATGTGTCTTATATAAAACAAATGTCACAATCTTTTTTTTAAACATGTTCTTCAGGTTGGATTATCAAATCACAAAAATATTTTTTCTTCTTTTCACAACCTTTATTTTACTAAACAGGATCCGAAACGTCCTGTTTAGTAAAATATGATCCGAAACGTCCTGTTTAGTAAAATATGATCCGAATAGTCCTGTTTAGTAAAATATGATCCGAAACGTCCTGTTTAGTAAAATAAAGGTTGTGAAAAGAAGAAAAAATATTTTTGTGAAATGTCACAATACTTATAAAATAGTTCAAATTCAGTGTGATAGTCTTTGCCATTGTACATGTTTTCTTTATCAACTTTCTAGATATTATTTCCTTTAGCCCTGAAAATTAGAGATACACTGTTCATGAAATACCATCAAAATGAGAAGTTTTATAAATGATTGGTTTAATTTGATTGAATATTTACTAGACAGACAACTTCCTATTTAATATTTTATAATCAATAACCGATATCACCAATCAATATAAACATGATATATTTTAAATACATGCAGACCAAACATTTATAGAATTGGCCATTAGTTTTTGGCGCATATGTGACTCAAGATCAAAAGTCAAAATACAAGCTGTTTTTCAAATCAAAAATTTCTTCAAGATAAGGTTATCTGCAGCGATTGCAATCAAGATTGTCTCAGTATTTTTTTTAAATAAAGACATTTTAATTTTTAAGTATTTTAAATTCAACTGTATACTGCCCAGAAAATTGTCAAATTTCAATTTTAAGAATGTTGTCTCGCTAAATAATCAAATGATTAAATTAATAGATAAACAAACAATAAATAGCCTAAGACAATCAATTTCTTATGAAATGTAAAACATTTCTTGCATTTCATAGCATTTTTGAATGATGATAACAATGCCTGAATCATAAGTACAAGGAGGTTGGATAAGTTCCTTGAAAAATTAAATGCCCTGATTAACCCAAAACCTTTTTTCGGAATTGTTGTTTTAGCATGTTTTCCAGTTTAGAGTAAAATAATAAAGAAAGAATTGTATGAAATTCTGCTAAACAGACATTGTGTTTAAGTAAAATCTGAAAATCTTTTTATTCTTGATTCTGAACCTTAGATAACTTCCAAGAATTATTCATGTTGGCAGAATCTCCACAAATAATTTCAGATGAGTTATATTATTAGTCAATCCTTTAATTTCTTTAAAGCATTTGACAGAAAAGGCATCAACGGCCAGACCCAAGGATGTGTACCCAATACCCTTCATTTTATTATTATGTCCCCACCACATAGTGTGGGGCCATATTGTCGTCCTAGGCGCGTCCGTCCGTCCGTCTGTCTGTCTGTCTGGTTGTCTGTCTGTCCGTCCGTCCGTCCGTCCGTACGTCCGGCAGTTTTCTCCAAAACCGCTAAGTGTGGGGCCATATTGTCGTCCTAGGCGCGTCCGTCCGTCCGTCTGTCTGTCTGTCTGGTTGTCTGTCTGTCCGTCCGTCCGTCCGTCCGTACGTCCGGCAGTTTTCTCCAAAACCGCTACAGGTATCACCTTCTAATTTTCAGGAATAACTTATGAGTGCCTATAGATGTGGATGAAAAAAATTTAACTCGAAACCTACTTCCTGTCGGCCATTTTGAAGTCAAATGCTAAAATCCTTGTCTGCAGACTTTAAGAAAAACTGCTTCACAGTTGCTTTTAAAACTTTAACATCTTGTTCAGCTCACTTCATTCTAGATCTGATTAGGTTTTGGACCTGCTAGCTCAGTCATGTCAGCCATTTTGAATGTCTTAAGAAAAGTTAGCGCGCGATAATACTTTGTATCATATTGAATGGTGTTTTTGAGTTTTCATACTTTAACTATTTAGTAGCTTTATAAATAATTTCAGATGTACTTTGGTGTAAAAGCCTACTTTATTGTTAACAGTAGTTATATGTGATAATTTTGTAAAAAGAAATCAGCAAAAACTCATAAGGACTTTTTTATTGTCGGCCATTTTGGATTTTTCGGTCCTAAAATCTTGTCTGTGAAGTCTTGTCTGCACGTTTTCAGGTGAACCGTTTGGTGGATCAATTTCAAATTTTCAGGGATGATTCTTAGTATAAAAATCTAGATCTCATTAGTTTTTTGGCATTCTGGGTAAATGTCAAGGCAGCCATTTTGGATTTTCCGTCCTAAAATCTTGTCTGTAAAGTCTTGATTACTCGTTTTCAGGTGAACTGTTTGGTAGATCAATTTCAAATTTTCAGGAATGATTCTTAGTATGAAAATCTAGAACTGATTGTTTTTTTTGCATTCTGGGTAAATGTCAAGGCAGCCATTTTGGATTTTCCGTCTTAAAATCTTGCCTGTAAAGTCTTGTCTACGCGTTTTTAGGTGAACGGTTTGATAGATCAATTTCAAATTTTCAGGGATGATTCTTTGTATGAAAATCTACATCTGATTACTTTTTTTGCATTCTGCGTAAATGTTGAGGCAGCCATTTTGGATTTTCTGTCCTAAAATCTTGTCTGTAAAGTCTTGTCTACCCGTTTTCAGGTGAACCGTTTGGTAGATCAATTTCATATTTTCAGGGATGATTCTTAGTATGAAAATCTACAAACAGATTAGTTTTTTGACATTCTTGGTAAATGTCAAGGCAGCCATTTTGGATTTTCCATCCTGAAATCTTGTCTGTAAAGTCTTCTTTACATGTTTTCTGGTTAACTGTGTGACAGATCAATTTCAAATTTTCAGGGGTGGTTCTTAGTATGAAAATCTAGAACTGACTAAATTTTTGGCATTCTGGGTAAATTTTAAGGTGGCCACTTTGGATTTTCCGTCCTCAAATTGTGCTGGTAAAGTCTTGTCTACTCATTTTCAGGATAACCATTTCACGGGATCACCACTTGGTGGGGACATTTTGTACACATTTGTGTTCTTGTATAAACTCTGTCTCCATGGCCAGTCCTCAATTTTGTCTGTTTTATTAATATTTGATTTTAAAAATGATCATTGAATCAATTAAATTAATTAAAATATATTTGTATGCCCTCAGTTTCTATTAGATGATATAAAAATTGTGTTGGGTGATATTAATATTATGTTGGAGGCCTCTAGGTTACACTAATTTACTATTTTATTGTGATCTTGCACAATTATTATCTAATTATGCCCCGATGATGATATATCAATGCATCAATTGTTTGATCAACCGTCTGATAAGACTCAACTGATCAATCTGTTACTCGATGTTTGTTAATCACGATTATATGTATCCCATAATGCACTTTTATAGAACAATCAACATTTGGGTATATAATGAAGCATTTCATACTTAAAAATCAGAAGCAGTTTGAGAGTGATTTATAACATTGGAATCATTTAGCTTTTATTGATATCCCATAATGCAACAGAAAAAGCAGACGGATATGAGGCATTGCCTCACAGGCTTAAAAACTTGTAGCTATAGTATTATTTTGAGGGAGTTTTAACAATGAAACAGTAGGTAACAAAGTTTTTTATTTAAAAAGTATTTTGTGATCAATATATTACAGTTTACAAATCACTGTATTTGGCATTAAATTTTCCAAGATTAAAATATTTAATTTTGATAGATCTTTAGTGAGTTAGAGTATTTTCATTTGAGAGCCCAAAGTTCAATATACAGGTAAAGGTTCAAAATAGATAGTTCAATATATTGTTCCTAAAGGTATTTTGTTTCTAAATGATCTACTTAATTAAAACACATCATTTACATGTACATGTAATAATTTTTTATCAAAATTCTTAATTAGATTTTTCATTTTCTTTTATTAAGGAATGAAACAATATCTTTAAGTTACTTTAAAATTGTACAAGCTGTGTTCTAAATCAAACTAATTTCTTAATATTTTTTAGGAAGATGTGGCAAGGAAGAAATCTGCTAAGCAGTCTCCTTTTAGAACGAAACAAGATGAAGAAAATGAGAAAAGGATGCAAAGAGAGGAAGATGGTGAACATGACCAATGGAAACCAAAGTATGTAATTTTAGTATTGAAACTCTTTACAATTATGCCCCGGTGCCCCATTCAAAGCTTTGGATAAGAGCAAGTTCGCGGGGGAATTTGACACACAGTATTGTCCTAGGGAGAGGGAATTTGACAGAGTTCTCTATCCCAACAGGAGGGTCTTACGAAAGATACTTATTCTCCAAGGGTGGAGAAATTTATTCACTATGTTGCTCCCAGGAAAAAAAATTGACAGCCAATTTTTATTTTGTCATTAAGATCTGCACCATTTTCTATGCTGCATTACATTGGAAATGAGAACAATTATTCAAGTAGATTTTCTCAATCACTATTTCTGAATTCTATCTGTTTTTAATGATGTAACTATGACAATATTATAGATGACATTTAATTGAACTCGCCAAATATGAATTAACAATCTTTCAGAGAAACAGGGCCAAGGGGTTGTAACACTATAACTGAAATCAAGCTGCCAGATTCACTTGGGCGCAGACAGCCTGGTGCATTAATTATATTTGGCATAGCAACATTATATCTGTACCTCCATTTAAATTGGTATTCTAGGTGTCATTAACAGCCAAGGAATATTTTCCTTACAAATGCTCCTGGTAATGCATAAAAGCATAGGCTTTCAAAATTAAGGGCTCTCGTGAAAGCCCATGATAAAAGCATCACATCGCTAATTTTAAATTGTTCTTTCATTAATTGATTGATAATTTATCCATAACGTCATTGTTTGAAATAATCAAAGAAAATACTGAAAACCAATCAAACAACACATTTTTAGTTTAAAGGAAAAGTATAAAATTAAAGACTGAAAATATTTAGATCGAGAAGTCAGTTCATACCTCGCTTTGAAAAAATCTAAAATCATCAATTACAATTATTATTCTGTTAAAAATTTAATTTTAACATTAATTTGATATCAGACTAATATCAAATTAATTTGATAGTTTGGTTAAAAGGCAGTTTATAATTAAACTATGATCTAAATTGGGATAAAGGTCAGTTTTGTAAGCCCAAGGCAAATAGAAATTTGAGTAATTATTTTAATAACCTCTTTTAACTTAAATGAATATATTAACTTATATCAATTCATTTACATATAAAACATGAGGTTATACAATAATGAAACTAAATTAAATTTTGGAAATCTATGTGAAAAAATTGTTTCACATAACTAAGGGGTCCTTTCAAACAGCAAACTTAATTTATTTTCCCCCTTTAATCCCCATTATCCCTCTAAACTGAAACATGGAATTGATGTTGTACGCAGCCATTTAATCAAAAAATGAATGTTTTCAATCAAGCTTAATCAAAATATATATCAATAGCCTTTTACCAAGCACCCACCACAGATCAAATTAACTCAATTGTTGAGTGCTTACTGATGTTTTGAGATGATCCCTGTTTCCTGTTTTTCCTGATGTAATTTTATAATTTTAATGTTTCTACATCACATGTATTGACATGAGTGATGACATGATTTTATAGCCACCATTTTTGTGATCTTAGCATTCTGTGTTAGCAGTTGGTATTTAGGATTTGTGACAGATTGTTACGCTTTTGTAAACATTTGCAAATATAGTGTCATGTTAATTTTTTTATACATTAATTGTTTTGGACCAATTGTTTTTTCCAGAAAATATAAAAGTGCAATGGACACTCCAACCAAACACAAGAAAGCAAAGAAGGAAAAAACTCCAACTCGCAAGAACATCAAGATTTCCCCAAGGCTGAAACCAGAAGATGTGCTAACCGCAATTAGTAATTCAGACCCAGAATCAGAGGCTAGCTCTGAATCAGAGGATGAAATTGAAAGTGAGGCTGGAAGTGAAAGTGAGGCTGAAAGTGAAGTGTCTGACAAATCCGACCAATCGGATGATGGTGTTGTTCAACATGGTAAAAGAAAACGTAAGATATCTGAGAGTGACGAAAGTGACACTATGTCTCCTTTCAAAGAAACACTTATAAGTGAATCTGAATCCAATGCGAGCTCCGTAGTCGAAAATGATTTGTCAGATGACTCAGAATTCAACTCACCTCTCAAAACTATCAAATCAAAAATCAAAAAACGAAAAAGAAAACAATTAAGTTCCAGTGAGGAGGATTCTGATGTTTCCCATAATGCAGTAGGCAGTGCAGACGACAGCAAACAAAATACCAAAAAGAAACTGAATAAAGCACCACCTGCTAAAAAACTGAAAATGCCGTCAAAAACACAAAATCAGCCAGACAATGATCCATTGGACTGGTCAAGTTCAGATGACGATGCTTTAAAACCACCAACCAATAAAAAACAGCGACATGATTCCAGTGACTCAAATTCAGATAAAACTCCAATGAATTCACCTGCCAAAAAAACGACAAAGCCTAAAGTGAATAACAAACCAAAGATGAGAAAACATACTAGTAATTCTGAAAATGAAGAGAACTCATCTGATTGGTCGAGTTCAGATGATGACACTTTAAAACCATTGACCAATAAAAAACAGCATCGTCATTCCAATGATTCAAAATCAGATAACACTCCAATGAATTCACCAGCTAAGAAATCGACAAAAACTAAAATAAACAATAATTTAAAAAAAAGAAAAATGGAAAATGGTTCTGACAGTGAGAATTCTTCTGACTCCTTAGCATCATCAGATAGTGAAATTGAAAATAAGAAATTAAAGAAAGCTTCAAGAAAGAAGAAGGATACTAAATCGAAAGCAGCTGTTTCTAAAAAGGTGACTATGAAGAATTTTCACATTCTTATTCATTCACGTGTCTGATACCCTTACATTTTTAGTATTTCGGTTTGGTTTTCCCCAAAAAGATCGCGTATTGTAGTTTTATTTTCTCAAAACCTGTTTCAATTTTTTTCAATTTTTGATATGTTTATATGTAAAGTACATGAATGAACATGTATTTTTAAGTGCTTGCTCTTATATAGCCTAACATGTACATGTAGTTAGCTGTAAACCACTGTACCTTAGTGGCTCTGTGCATATCTAGGGTCTCTTTTGTACATGGGATTGCATCTACCTCTTCTGCTACCCAGAATTCATCTCTCCTTGCTTGATATAATCCGTAATAACCTTTTGTATTACATTTACCTATTGTGATTTATTAATACACCTACATTTTAGGGCAGATACAAACCACTGTACCTTAGTGGCCCTGTGCAAATCTAGGGTCTCTTTTGTACATAGGATTGCATCTACCTCTTCTGCTACCCAGAATTCATCTCTTTATGCTTGATATAATCTGTAATAACCTTTTGTAATGCGTTTACCTATTGTGATTAATTAATACAACTACATTTTAGGGCAGATACAAACCACTGTACCTTAGTGGCCCTGTGCAAATCTAGGGTCTCTTTTGAACATGGGATTGCATCTACCTCTTCTGCTACCCAGAATTCATATCTCCTTGCTTGATATACATGTAGTCTGTGCCACCTTTTAGTTGCTTCTACTATTGTGATTTATTAATACAACTACATTTTAGGGCAGATACAAACCACTGTACCTTAGTGGCCCTGTGCAAATCTAGGGTCTCTTTTGTACATGGGATTGCATCTACCTCTTCTTCTACCCAGAATGCATCTCATATTCTTAATCACCCATAATACATTGTTACCACTGTACATTAGTAGCACTGTGAATATATTGTACCTCTCTTGTGCATTAGATTGCATCTACCTCCTCTGCTATTCCGAATTCATCCTTTCCTGCTTTTTAACCCATAATGCATTGTAAGTGGCTGTATCACATTGGCCCTGTGTACCTGTTGTGTGTGGGATCACATCTACCCATAATGCAACTGGGTTAGCAGAAATTAATATTTTCTAATCTTGAGAAGACTCTACAGTGTATCCTTATTATCACCATTAGTTAACATATCTGCATATAGAAACAAGTTTTTGATATGTGAAAACACTTTGATGATAGGAGAACTACTTCATTAAAGATGTTTAAGATTTTTGGAGATCAACATTATTACCCATAATGCATTTTTCTTGCAGACGACATCATCAAAGCCTTCTCAAGTGACTTCTGGTAAATTACAGAAACTACAAAAGATTTGTCGAGAAGCTGGCCTCTGGTACGTCCACCTGTTCAAAGAATGCACAACTGCCAGAGAAAAAGAAACCAAAATATTAGATTTCTTGGCTGAAAAGGGTTTCAAAGGTTTGTCAGTTTAGAAAATCATAGCTGTTTTGTTTATTTTAGTGCAGCTTTGTAATTAATCATTTGCAAGCTTTAGTTCATGATTTGCAATTTACAACTAACTTACTGTCCATGCCAGTATAAATGTTGTACTGATGCAAACCACTGTACTATAGTGGCCCTGTATATCTAGGGTCTCTATTGTGCATGGGATTGTATCTGCTCCTCCTGTACCAAGAATGCATCATGTTACTAAATGTACAACACTACCATTGTGATTCTCTAACAATATGAAAGGTCTCCTTTCATGCACTTCTCTACCCAGAATGCACAAGCTGATTTCATCTGCTTTGCTTTCCAGAACTCAGCTTGGTATTTAATCCAAACTTAGACCACTGTACCTTTTTGGCCCTATTATATGCACAGGGCTAAATCAGTACAAGGGATTGAGTTTCATTCAAATAACACCTAGTAGGAAAAGTAACATATAGTGCCTCATTTGCTTTTTATCTGTGGAGTCTACTTAGAATGCAAAAGACTTGATGCATAAACTATTGTAGTATTGCTTTTACTACTGTACATACTTACATTTGGACGTACCCATGATGCATTGCTTGCTTCATCTTACCCATAATGCTTTGTCTACTGCAGAAGATAACCGAGTACTGCTTATACCACTGTACCATTTGGCCCTACATGTTTTAGTAGGGTCAGTTGGATGGGGGAACAAGTGTTACTTTCTCTAACACCTGTTTGTTCTTACCCATAATGCTTCATATTACCCATAATGCTTTGTCTGCTGCAGAAGATAACTGAGTACTGCTTAAACCACTGTGCCATTTGGCCCTACAATGTTTCTAGTAGAGACAATTGGATAGGGGAATGATCATTACTTAATCTTACACCTGTTTGTACTTACCCATGATGCATTGCCTGTTTGTACTTACCTATGATGCATTGCCTCGATTGCTTGGTTTATATCACCTATACTTTTGTGTCAGCAGCAGAATATTATTGATAAATATTGCTTATACCACTGTACCAATTGGCCCTACATGTTAGTAGGTAGTAGGGACAACTGGATAGGGGAATGAGCATTACTTTATCCATCACCTGTGTGTACTTACCCATGATGCATTGCTTGCTTCATTTTACCCATAATGCTTTGTCTACTGTAGAATATAATTGTTGAGCATTGCTTTTACCACTGTACCATTTGGCCCTACATGCTTCTAGTAGAGTCAACTGGGTAGAGGAATGAGCGTTACTTTATCTAACACCTGTTTGGTATTACCCATAATGCTTTGTCTGCTGCAGAAGATAACTGGGTACTGCTTAAACCACTGTACCATTTGGCCCTACATGTATTAAGTAGGGTGAACTGGATAGGGGAATGAGCATTACTTTTAATCTTACACCTGTTTCTACTTACCCATGATGCATTGCTTGCTTCATATTACCCATAATGCTTTGTCTGCTGCAGAATATAATTGTTGAGCATTGCTTTTACCACTGTACCATTTGGCCCTACATAATTCTAGTAGAGTCAACTGGGTAGGGGAATGAGCGTTACTTTATCTAACACCTGTTTGGTATTACCCATAATGCTTTGTCTGCTGCAGAAGATAACTGAGTACTGCTTATACCACTGTACCATTTGGCCCTACATGTATTAAGTAGGGTGAACTGGATAGGGGAATGAGCACTACTTAATCTTACGCCTGTTTCTACTTACCCATGATGCATTGCTTGCTTCATTTTACCCATAATGCTTTGTCTACTGTAGAATATAATTGTTGAGCATTGCTTTTACCACTGTACCATTTGGCCCTACATAATTCTAGTAGGGTCAACTGGGTAGGGGAATGAGCGTTACTTTATCTAACACCTGTTTGGTATTACCCATAATGATTTGTCTGCTGCAGAAGGTAACTGAGTACTGCTTATACCACTGTACCATTTGGCCCTACATGTATTAAGTAGGGTGAACTGGATAGGGGAATGAGCACTACTTCATTTTACGCCTGTTTCTACTTACCCATGATGCATTGCTTGCTTCATTTTACCCATAATGCTTTGTCTACTGTAGAATATAATTGTTGAGCATTGCTTTTACCACTGTACCATTTGGCCCTACATAATTCTAGTAGAGTCAACTGGGTAGGGGAATGAGCGTTACTTTATCTAACACCTGTTTGGTATTACCCATAATGCTTCATATTACCCATAATGCTTAGTCTGCTGTAGAAGATGATTGAGTACTGATTATACCACTTTACCATTTGGCCCTGCATGTTTCTAATAGAGTCAATTGGATAGGGGAATGAGCACTACTTAATCTTACACCTATTTGTACTCACCCATGATGCATTGCTTGCTTTATATTACCCATAATGCTTTGTCTGCTGCTGAAGATAACTGATTATCACTTTTAAATCACTGTTCCATTTGGCCCTACATGTTTGTAGATAGTACATGTATTTAATAATGTGAACTGGATGGGGAATGAACATTGCTTTATATCACGCCTGTTTTTACTTACCCTTGATGCATTGGTTGCTTCATAGTAACCCATAATCAAAGCTTTTAATTAAACAGGCTACAGAGAATAGTGTAATATATGTGATATTCAAATACTTTAATAAAAAAAGTTGCGTAAAATACATAAAGCTTAATCAGTTGTTAAATTATTCAAAACCATCTTCAGGGACACCAACCCTTCAAGCAGCCCAGGAATATAAACTGAAGAAGGAACTTGCAGATCTTGGATCAGAGAGCATAATTGACTCAGGTACCCTACATAATACAGAATCTGAATTGATAAAAAAATAACCATTAGTTAACCATAAGTGGCAGATACAAGTCATCTTTGCTCCAAATGACCAAATGAAACATCCAGAAATTCCCTTCATAGCCAGTGTCTGCCGAAATGACGAAGTGGCATTCAAGGGTTCTACTCCAGTAGGGGTGGTTATACATACCTTAGATATCTGAATTGATAGGAAATAAATAATTTTTTGAGGCAAATGTTGCAGTTTGACAAGAACTAAAAATTAAGCGTAACCCTTCTTCCTTCCTATTGCAGGTCGTGGTAAGAGAAAAGTACAAAGTCTTTACAATCGAACAACAAACACCTCAACCCACGATGAACACCTTCCTGCGAACACTTCTCCTACTATGAAGTATACTCCAGTTAAAGAAAAATTCAAGAATCTAAAAGGAATCATAGACTCAGATAGTGAGTCAGAATAGACTAAAATAGGCCTAGGTGATAGAGAGGCATAGGTGATAGAGAGGCCTAGGTGATAGAGAGGCCTAGGTGATAGAGAGGCACGGTTGATAGAGTGCTACCATTTGAAATACATGCAGCGTATTCTCTCTTAAAAGCACACAGTGCACTCTGGAAATCAACATGGAAAATAGTGAAATATTGAGAAATCCTAGACTGCACATAATCTGTACAGACATATTTAGGGAAAAAATATTGCTGATAATCAAATACAATAATTCAACTTCTTTTTAGTTGTTATCACTTCAGTATGGCTTCCATTTTACTTTCTTTATATCAAATGAAATCAAGAAGATCCAAAAGCTCTGAGCCCTGCTGGAAAGAGTAAAATCGCATTTGTTTGCAAGTCGATTTTTCTATGAATGTATTCGTCTTAAAAGCTGCATTTGTGCCTTTTGGTGAATATGCAGTCTTTAGAAAGAATACAATACTCTGTATTTCCATCCTGTAGCTTTACTGCCCTCTCACTTTTACAAATGATTTACAGCTTTGGTGCTAATCTTTTAAGACCAATAAAATTAAGCTTCTTAATATGAAGTGTGTTTTGAGTTTCCAACTTTTTTTGTGGACAGTGTTCATTGGTTGGTGTATGTAACAAATGGCAGGTGGTGACATTTTGAATGTTAATGCCTTGTATGTCTCTGCTGGAAATGGAATGCTTCATGTGAAAAATTCATGTCAAGTAAATAATAAATTGGGTAAAATGTGGATTTCTAGGAAAGTTAGGAGTAAATGAATTCTTAAAAAAGATTTTTCCTGATTTCAAAGAAAAAATAAATGACCATTTTGGTCATTGTGAAGTAAAACAACTGACCCATGATGGTGAGACAGTGTATAGAATGGTATAGCAATATTTTTGTGTGATCAAAAATCAAGATTTGTTGTCATGTGGAAATTGTCCAAAAATTTATATTTGAATCTGTTATGAATTATAATACAATATAAATGAAATACAAAAATAAATATTCTTAGTATCTCATCAAATTATATATTTTTCAAACATATAGGCTACAGTTGTCTATGCTACACTGTAGTATAAAATTGTCATTATATGTACAGAGCATATTATACAACTCAAAAGTATACAGTAATTCAGGTAAGAAGTTGGTATTACACACAGGGTTTTCGTCAAACTGTGACCTATAATCAGGAGATTATTTGACCCTGAGGCTAATTTGACAGTGGGGCTACTTTGACCTTGGCTGATATTAAATTCAAAGTTGAATATTTGCAAAATGAAAGAAAGAGGGATGAAATAATCCCCATAGGTCAGAATTCAACAGTCCCCTTATTTAAGATCAGATAATGACTAGTTATTTTTGTCTTTTATATTCTAAAATTGATAAAAAGAAATTGACCTGAATAGGCAAGAAAATATGTTTGAGTCATGGATATACTTCAATAGTCAGATAACGAAGTTCAGTGGGATTGTTAAACAAGTGCCCAACTAAAATGAAATATTTGGTTGAAATGTGTTCATTCTCTTCATTTCTGACTCACCTCAAATAAGTAATGGAATCCATCCAGAAAATATCTCAAATACTAGTCAACAGATTTTATTCACATTCCATGGACAGATGTATAATAGTACACTATGACGTCACATATTGCTCAGGTCGATATAGTAAAATGAATGCCTTCTTAACTAGCACTAAAACCCCTAGAACTGGCCCGGCAAGGTGGTAATAGAAGTAGATAGTTTTACGCGAAAAATCCCACCAATCAAAACATATCTGTTTAAATCACTCATCATGTGGAACACTTCATGATAGAAATAACCAGGCAGAATTCTAGACTACATTTGAACCAAATCTTTATAACCTTTAGAATTCAGTGGCCATCTTGAACATTGGTGAGCATTTCTTCTTGAATGAAATTCCCAAATAAAATCAGTTGACTGGTATTTGGGTTATCTCTCAGATGGATGACTCCTCTATATCCATCCAAAACTTTGTTTGGTTTGGTGGGATAGTTAAGACATACAAGATGCAGGCAATTTTACATACTAAATGTTATATGCATTTCAACGACACTGTACATTATTACATGTTAAAAATATTTTGGTAAAGAAAGCAATAATATACATATTCAAATGTTATATTTGGTTCATTTTCTCTGCTGAAAGTAAGGCATATACCTTATTTTACCTAATATAGGTTATGTTGCTGGGTTAGACAAATGCATACTGGGTGTCCCCAAATAATTGTTCCTAAATAAAAACAGAAATAGCCTCTATTCTTCATCAAATAAGTTGAATTCATCCCATCATAAATAGAATTCATTTTCCGATTAGCTGATAAAAATTCACGGAAATTTGTATATTACTTACTGAGAAATTCGACAATATAGATGTCATGCTCTAAATGACGTCCATCGTGATTGAAGCAGAGCTGAATGCGCTGTTGAAAATTGGAAAAATGAGAATCTCTATAGAATCATCATCCGATCACAGGGCTTCAAAATCCAGAATATCTTCTTTCTTTTTACCCCCTGCTATAACCAAGTTGGACGCGCCCGATTAAACTGAATCACGTGATCTAATTATGCGCCGATGACGTATACATGATTGCTGTCGCAGTGTTGCGACAGCCAATCAAATTGCGAGTTCTTAATCGGGGAAATGCTTACTGCTTATAGCAGGGGGGAAGAAGGAGGTACGGATTCTGGACACCTGCTTAGGAGGATGCTATAGAATTATCTGATGAAACATTCAGATTTATGATGATAAAATTATTCAACCATAATTCAAGAATATTCTTCATCACTTGGAGTTATTCTATGTTTAGGTCACAGTTCAATTTTTTGGGACACCCTGTATATCAGAAATAATTTCTATATACACCTATAACTTTTTACCAATACATATACACAACGACACCAGGTCATTCTACATTTCTGCTAAAACATGACTTCACTGGGAAAAATTTACAATTTTAAAATTACCAGTACACACGTGATTGGCTGCTGCTCAGGATTATATGCGCTAAATACTTGAACGTCTTTGGTGACCGAATCGGGAATAATCGACTTTAAACCTTCTAATTCTTTCAAATATGAAACATCTATCAAGAAAGCACTTGTACTAGAGTCTTCTACAGCTTTTGTGATTGCTTTCTTAATGTATGTATACTGATGTACAATCTTTGAATCTAGTGGTTGGATGACTGTCACCCCCACCAAGTTAATGCTGTCTCCATCCTCAGCCCCTTGGCTCATCAGATGCATCTGAGTTGCAACCATGGCTGGCGATGCAGATTTGGTGCTATCTTGAATCAGCTCATCTTTGGGCAAAACATCTACTTCGTATCCATCGCCTAATTTCTGGCTCAGGCATTTTTTGATCCGTGTTGCCTCCTCATGAAATGCACGGTTTTTGTTACTATAGGGGAGACCCGACGTGAATGTCGTGCTTGGTGTCCATTGATAATAGGGGGAGCTTTGAACAGGGTCTTTCTCCCCAGACTTCAACCACCGTCTAATTCCACCATCGCTATCAGTTATTTTATTTAGGATGATCACTAACACGTACATTTTCATTTTTTCCGCACCCTCCATTTGTAATAGGTGGAGATTGCCAACCTTTGGTGCAGAAAGTTTTGATGCTAATGTCTCCTTTGTTTTTTCCATTTTTGTAACAATATCACAGCGGATCTGCTTTTCGATCTTCTTACTAAAGTCCTTATAATTGTTTTTAGCTTCAACCTTGAAGGCGTAATCTTTCTTGACTTTGCCATCAACATTTAGGATGAGATCCTTCAACTTGTCACTCGTCCCTTCCTCGCTGAAAAATAGATTAGAAATATTTTAGGGTACATTATTATCAAAACAAGGCAAAATGGAGGTACTTGATGAAAATGCATTGAATAAGGCAAAATCTAGATAACTACATTAATGTATGAGTATTAATGTTTTTTTAATATAGATTATAAAAGTCAAATAAAAATAAAAATAGTTCAGTCGATTTAGACCCTCTGTCCCACTTGATTGTGCCAGATCTTGTACCAAAATATACAATTATTTTTTGTTTTCATTAAGCAAATTCTATATTCCTAATACGTGTATAAGATACATGTTCTGTATATATCATTTCAAATTCCATCTTCAATTCACATTAAATGTCAAATACAATTTTCAGCCTTTTTCAATTACAACATTTACCTCAATTTAAAATACAACATAAGTCTGTAAAACTTCAATTTGTTTCATTATATATTTTAAATTAAATAAAACAATTCAAATAGATTTCTATAATTCAAGACCTCAACTCAAATATAAAACATTCCTCACAGACTTTCAATTCACTATAAACCTCAATTTAAAGGCCACATGTATCTCAATTCAAAGACAAAATAAAACGAGTCAGCTTCAAAATATCAATATCAGATAGGAAATATAAATTTGGAAATATTGAATTGTTGAAAAAACAAAACATGCATTAACCCCCCTTAGAACTAACTTTTTTTAGTTTCCTCTCTGACATTGATATTTTGATGCTGCCCTTACCTCATTTCATTTATAACAAATGTTACACCTGAAGTCAATTCATCACAACATTTATAAATTTATTTTTACATTTTATTATCCCAACGAACGAAGTTCGGTAGGGATATAGTGAAGCCCTCCGTCCGTCTGTCCATCAGTCCGTCAATCAGTCAGTCAGTCAGTGCGTCCGTCCGTCTGTCCGGAAGATAACTCAAATACTAGTGGACGGATTTTCTTCATATTTAGTGGAAAGATGTATATTGGTGAATAGTTTTACGCAGTTTTTCAAGATGGCCGCCGCTTTAAAAATGACGGGACTTTTTCGCAAAAATCATAAATTTTTCATTCTAAACCAAAGTAATTAATATTATTGTTTGAAATTTTGGTAGTATATTCACAACATTTATCTATTTCACATATATTCTGTGTTTTTCATCCTGACCCCCAGGGGCAGTGTAGGGGCAAAATGGCCGTCTAATCTAAGATTTTGCAATAATTTTTCGATCCCTTCAAAGTATGGCTATATTATACTCAAATTGAATGAATTTTGGAGTAGATCACAATTATGGTATTATTTTTCAGATTTGTACCTCAGAAAATTCAAAATGGCTGCTTTGCAGGAATTCGCAATTCTAAAATCTAATTTTTTCAATTTTAACCAAAAGTAATGAGTATGATTGATTGGAATTCGGTAACTGATATTTTGTTCGTTGGGATTTGCTACTCCGCGGAGTTGCCGTTATCTAGTTATATTCTCTGTTAAGGTGATATTTTTTGAAATCTAGCATGGTTTTGTCACTTCCTGTTTTGTCATTTCCTGTTAAGTACCACAGCACCTTAACTGTATTCATATTGTTCTTGTTATAAAAGTTTAGGCCATTCCCTGATAATCAGTGGCCGTGTCAATAAATAAATAAACAAATTAATTAATTTATCTACCTTAATCTGACAAGTGCTCGTGCAATATCTTCCATGAAGAAAAGAATCTTCTCACCAGACACAAACTGGTACCTGAAGAAAAGAAAATAAGACTAAACATCACGTATGTAACTATTACATTTTACTATTTTTACTTTGTTACAATGTAATAGGCAATGAGCATATAACAGGTAATCTATTTCAATGGCATATGTTATAAGGGGTTTTCATTTTAAATGAGTCAATGTACTGTTTGTGAATGTACACATTGTTATGTATGTTATAAATATCCTATGCTTGTTTCATTTAACCCAAAAAGAGAGTTTTATGGAGGTGTGATTCATGTAGGACTATGGACATCATCTGAAGTGACATCTATAATTTATTCCTTATACTAGTATTTGAAATATATGGTAGAAACATGACACTCGGGCAAATACAGTTTTGCAGTGAAAATGAGAGGAATCAGTGAGGAAAATAGTAAAAGGGAGAGGGTGTTGTTATTTGTTAATATCTAAAATTGCATAGAAAAGCTTGAAAATGTGTCAGTTATTTAAATTTCAGAGAACATGTTTCGAATGAAGTCTTTCAGAGGCCAACCACATAAAGATTGCAAGTTTCTAGTTAGTAAAAGGGAGAGGGTGTTGTTATTTGTTAATATCTAAAATTGCATAGAAAAGCTTGAAAATCTGTCAGTTATTCCAATTTCAGAGAACATGTTTGAAATGGAGTCTTTCAGAGGCCAATCGCATAATGATTGCAAGTTTTCTAATTGTTTTCTAATGTTAGCAGTTTTAGTCAAAAAATCTAAAAAAATCTACAAAATGTATTTCTAGAAAATTTTGGTTTAAGCAACACCCCTGCCTAATTTATTTAAAGTTTTACCGAGAAGTCTCTGTATAGAGAGCAATAGAATCTCCATTGAGGTTATAGTTGGCATGGACCATGCTCTGGACTGTTTCACGGATATCTATGGCAAAGTTTGGGGCACGGGTGTCATCGACCAAGCACAGGGCCATTTCTGAAAATGTGAAAACATATTGTATTTTTTTTTGTGAGATCAATGATGATGTGACATATTTTATCTAATTGTTCTTATTGGAAATCGTCAATCAGAAAGTGATTTATTATAACTACATGTACTTTGAACTGGCTTATATATGAATTTGTCTATCTTTGCCAACCAGTTGTTCAGTTATTAATTCAACTGCATCGCAATATAGCCACGCCCCCTTTGTCTTCATCCTTCCAAAGTGAAATCGGCAGATAAGAGGGGCTCTGGCATACCAGAATAATTCAACTGAAAATAGCTATCTCTTATGTATAGGCTTCAATATTTTCATTGTCAAGTTTCCTCTATCAAACAAAAAGTACCAATGCATTAAATTTACCTTTCATGTCTACAGGCCGTTTGTTGCTCTCATTTTCCACCATCTTCTTTTTTAGTCTGTCACCTTTTCCATCATTTATGATTGTTGGTGATTCATCATTCACAGCTTTCTTTTTAAAACCTCCCTCCAGATTCTTGTCATTCGTGGGCTTTTTGACATCTTTTGTTTTCGAAACATCTTTTTCTGGTTGTTTTGATGACAGCCTTTTCGATGATGATGCAGACTGTTCATCACTTATGTCAGAACTTTCATCACGCTTGGGTTTCTTAGCCACAGGAGAATATGACCCGTCTGTTTGTCGTTTTCTTGATTTTGTGGCCCGTGGCTTTTTAGGATGTTTTTCATCATCCGAATCATCATTACTAGAGTTAGCACTAGTACTAAACGCCTCAATTCCTTCAATTTCAAACTGATCTGAAACCCTTTTTGATGTTTTTGTTTTTTTCATCGATTCACCAATGTCAGATTCACTAGAGGCTGGCATCAGCTTTTTGGTGGTTTTCACAAGTTTTTTCTTGGGAATATCATCATTATTAACATCATCTTCGTCATCTGATAGCGTATCACATTCAACTGAAACATACAGGACATTATTTTTCTAGACAATACTACACAAAATATGACTCCTACAAGTTAAAAAGTTTTATGGTAAAAAACATCTTTCTGAAGGGCAGCATAATCTTAATGTCACTTTGAGACATTTCTGTGATTTTCATACACAATGTATTTCCAAAACTGTTTCTCTATAGAAATAGTGTTGTGTGTATAGGTATTATTGTGTATACATATATGTAACTGCAAGATTCTAACTTTTAGGTAAAATATGTTTGTTTGTTTGTTAATTCTAAGACAAAATGAATATTTTCTGGATTTTGGATATTCATTATATTCTGGTATTTCTTAACTTAACTGGAAGGATATTGTATTTGCTTTATACCCATTCTGAAAATATTCTAATCTGGAAAAAACAATAAATTCAGACTGTCTTTTAAGATTCACATCTTTTAATGTTATACATGTATTTAGTAATACCTTTCCAGTCATTTCCTCGCCTTTGTTTGCAGCTTTTAATGTTATACATGTATTTAGTAATACCTTTCCAGTCATTTCCTCGCCTTTGTTTGCAGCTTTTAATGTTATACATGTATTTAGTAATACCTACCAGTCATTTCCTCGCCTTTGTTTGCAGCTTTCCTTTTCAGTAAGTTAATATACATCTCTTTGTGCTTATCTCCACAGAATATCCTATAAATAAAAAACATATTTCATGACATGTTTTTACAATCAGACTACAATATACTGAACTGGCTCAATTTTGAGAAAAAAACAGTTAACCATGATCTCACTCATATTTTCTCAACCAGGTGCTAACCATTTATTTTAGTTATTTGGTCTACATCTCCCTTTTGATGGGTGCATAGCATTTCAACAGGGTGGCTAGAATTTCAACAGGGTGCATAGAATTTCAACAGGGTGCACATCATTTCAACATGGTGTATAGAATTTCAACAGGGTGCATATAATTTCAACAGGGTGTCTAGAATTTTAACAGGGTGCACAGAATTTCAACAGGGTGTATAGAATTTCAACAGGGTGCACATAAATTCAACAGGGAGCCTAGAATTTCAACAGGGTGCACAGAATTTTAACAGGGTGTATATAATTTCAACAGGGTACATAGAATTTCAACAGGGTGCACAGAACCTCAACAGGGTGCACATCATTTCAACAGGGTGCATAGAATTTCAACAGAGTGCATAGAATTTCAACAGGGTGGCTAGAATTTCAACAGGGTGCATAGAATTTCAACAGGGTGCATATAATTTCAACAGGGTGTCTAGAATTTTAACAGGGTGCACAGAATTTCAACAGGGTGTATAGAATTTCAACAGGGTGCACAGAATTTTAACAGGGTGTATATAATTTCAACAGGGTGCATAGAATTTCAACAGAGTGCATAGAATTTCAACAGGGTGCAAAGAATTTCAACATGGTGCAGAGAATTTCAACAGGGTACATTAAACTTCAACAGGGTATATAGAATTCCAATATGGTGTATAAAATTTCAACAGGCTACATAGAATTCCAACAGGATGCATATTATTTCAACAGGGTGCATAGAGTTTCACAGGTGCCTAGACTAAAGCCCATCAGCACAATATGGTGTTTCAAATCTCCTTACCTGTAATGCACCTCTGTTCTCTTTTTCTTCTCATTTTTCCTCTTGAAAGTGCACACCATGCGATCAGCTATACAATTGTCATCCTGGGAGGCGCAGAAATAATGGAAAGATTTGGCACATTTGTCAAAGGCACACCCAGCACTGGCCCGCTTGGCATGTGTATTACCCTCAGTTTTGCATTTAAAACATGTCTGAAATAATGTTAGGATTTGGCACATTTGTCAAAGGCACACCCAGCACTGGCCCGCTTGGCATGTGTATTACCCTCAGTTTTGCATTTAAAACATGTCTGAAATAATGGAAGGATTTGGCACATTTGTCAAAGGCACACCCAGCACTGGCCCGCTTGGCATGCGTATTACCCCCAGCTTTGCATTTAAAACATGTCTGAAATAATGGAAGGATTTGGCACATTTGTCAAAGGCACACCCAGCACTGGCCCGCTTGGCATGTGTATTACCCTCAGCTTTGCATTTAAAACATGTCTGAAATAATGGAAGGATTTGGCACATTTATCAAAGGCACACCCAGCACTGGCCCGCTTGGCATGTATTACCCTCAGCTTTGCATTTAAAACATGTCTGAAATAATGGAAGGATTTGGCACATTTGTCAAAGGCACACCCAGCACTGGCCCGCTTGGCATGTATTACCCTCAGCTTTGCATTTAAAACATGTCTGAAATAATGGAAGGATTTGGCACATTTGTCAAAGGCACACCCAGCACTGGCCCGCTTGGCATGTGTATTACCCTCAGCTTTGCATTTAAAACATGTCTGAAATAATGGAAAGATTTGGCACATTTGTCAAAGGCACACCCAGCACTGGCCCGCTTGGCATGTGTATTACCCTCAGCTTTGCATTTAAAACATGTCTGAAATAATGGAAAGATTTGGCACATTTGTCAAAGGCACACCCAGCACTGGCCCGCTTGGCATGCGTATTACCCTCAGTTTTGCATTTAAAACATGTCTGAAATAATGGAAAGATTTGGCACATTTGTCAAAGGCACACCCAGCACTGGCCAACTTGGCATGTGTATTACCCTCAGTTTTGTATTTAAAACATGTCTGAAATAATGGAAAGATTTGGCACTTTTGTCAAAGGCACACCCAGCACTGCCCCGCTTGGCATGTGTATTACCCTCAGTTTTGCATTTAAAACATGTCTGAAATAATGGAAAGATTTGGCACTTTTGTCAAAGGCACACCCAGCACTGCCCCGCTTGGCATGTGTATTACCCTCAGTTTTGCATTTAAAACATGTCTGAAATAATGGAAGGATTTGGCACATTTGTCAAAGGCACAACCAGCACTGGCCCGCTTGGCATGTGTATTACCCTCAGTTTTGCATTTAAAACATGTCTGAAATAATGGAAAGATTTGGCACTTTTGTCAAAGGCACACCCAGCACTGGCCCGCTTGGCATGTGTATTACCCTCAGTTTTGCATTTAAAACATGTCTGAAATAATGGAAAGATTTGGCACTTTTGTCAAAGGCACACCCAGCACTGGCCCGCTTGGCATGTGTATTACCCTCAGTTTTGCATTTAAAACATGTCTGAAATAATGGAAAGATTTGGCACTTTTGTCAAAGGCACACCCAGCACTGGCCCGCTTGGCATGTGTATTACCCTCAGTTTTGCATTTAAAACATGTCTGAAATAATGGAAGGATTTGGCACTTTTATCAAAGGCACACCCAGCACTGGCCCGCTTGGCATGTGTATTACCCTCAGTTTTGCATTTAAAACATGTCTGAAATAATGGAAGGATTTGGCACATTTGTCAAAGGCACACCCAGCACTGGCCCGCTTGGCATGTGTATTACCCTCAGCTTTGCATTTAAAACATGTCTGAAATAATGGAAAGATTTGGCACTTTTGTCAAAGGCACACCCAGCACTGGCCCGCTTGGCATGTGTATTACCCTCAGCTTTGCATTTAAAACATGTCTGAAATAATGGAAAGATTTGGCACATTTGTCAAAGGCACACCCAGCACTGCCCCGCTTGGCATGTGTATTACCCTCAGTTTTGCATTTAAAACATGTCTGAAATATAAAAATTAATGTCAGTTGGGCTTAAATGTCAGTATCTATTAAGTGTGTCAAATAGCCTGTTGGATTTCAAGTACTTGGAATTTTTAATTGAAGAATGTCAAATCCTAGGAATATTTATCAGAATTAACATAGTGTTAGTAATGAAAATATATGTAACAAGGATTTCATTAGAATTTCTAACAACAGGCAAAAATGAAAATAATGGGAAAACCAAATGAAAACAATGGGCAAAAAATGAAAAACAATGAGCAAATCTATTTATTAAAAATCATTTTAGCATTACATGGAAATAAATGTAAAATTCCTATAACAACAACATTCAATTATTGTTAAAATAGCCAACCAAAATAGCCTGTTGCTAATGACACTGCAAAATCAGTGATCTCCCCAGGATTTTTTTCTCAGGTGGGTGCAAAATTCTCGTTTTCACAATTCAGAACAAAATTGGTCAAAATATGCCAATTTTTCATGATTTTTATCATTTTAAGTGGTTGCAAATGGATTTTAAAGTGGGTGCAAGCCTATTTTCAAAATCTCAGGTAGGTGCTACGCCCACTTGCTTTAATGCTGGGGAGATCACTGCAAATGATGTTACAGACACCGAACACAAACTGCTGAATAGCATCAATAAAAAAGTTAGACACTAGCAATTTTATGTCACCAGTTCTTGTGGTGGCAGAAAAACAGACTTTTTGTTTACTCACCAACTTATGACTTCTTCTCATTTCTTTCTGGACTTCGTCGATTTCGAAACCTCCAAATCCCATATCACTCTCATACTGTGCCAAATTTGAGCTGTATTGCTATAATATAGAGATGTAGAGTAAGCCATAGAGACTGGAGTGAAATAGAGACTGGGGGTAAAATGTCCAGGGGGTGAAATGTCTAAGGGTTGAAATGTCTATGGGGTGAAATGTCTACAGGGTGAACAGTCTAGGGGTAAAATGTCCAAGGGGTGAAAAGTCTTGATACCCTACATAATGATCTGATTGTACTTCTACTTACCATGCATTTTTTGTGTGCAACACATCCTTTAGAAGCAAACAGAGTCCCGCAAATATTTTGCGTCTCTGATCCACCCCCACAGAATCCACAACAATCCTCCGACCCATAGAAAATATTCTTCTTTGTGCTCATGCTTCTACCATCTGAAAAACACATTGAAATACTTTGTGACTTTGATAAACATTACACTGTATTTGGTATTCGAACATGACTGTATTCACGCCTTCTATAAACTATGAACAAGGTCAACATTTCACCCGGGGTATATTCGCGATCAATACCCCTGGTAATATGTGTAATGTGTGACGTCATAACAGTGGGTCATAGTAATGGCGGACCATGATGAATATTCGAAACATTTTGGTGAGTTTTCATGTTCGAATCATAATATAGACCTCAGAGCAGGGGTAATATCGTTGAATACACCCCTTAGGGCTAGGCACAAAAGCTTTCGAACAGAAAACATTTGTGCCTAGCCACGTGGGGTGTATTCAACAATATTGCCCCTGCTTTTCGGTCTATATTTCTTAATCACTGTATTACCACAGGCCCAGGAACAAGAGTTCACTCCCCACACTAGCTAGCTGTACATCATAGAAAAATGGTATGGTACACACAGTGCAATGTTCTCCCCAGGATTTTATCTCAAGTGGATGCAAAATTCTTATTTTCATGATTTAGACAAAATTTGGTCAAAATATACCTATTTTCACGATTTTTCTAATCTTCAAGTGGGTGCAGATGAATTCTCAGGTGGGTATTTGCCTTTAGTCTGAGCAGTAAATAAATGAGTAGTTGATTTTCTACCACCACTTCCAAACCACGGTGGTTTGAAAGCCCATAGTTTCCAATATTGTCTAGATAAATATCACCTAAAATTTGTATATTTTAACGACCCTTGATATCAAGTTGCTACTACGACCCAGCTGTAGGTTCGATTCCCACACGGGGCATTGAAGTGAGCACACTTTCTTTCAATTTCTTCGTCTGGCTTGTTACACTATGCTCATCAAGTCATTCCCCTGGTGCGCCCTTGGGTCATTACATTGGTGTCAGAAGTGGGATCAAAGCATTGGTTGTATCCTTTACGCCCGTGTGTGTATGGTAAGTCACTGCTAGGGAAAGCAGGGCTGACCACGAGGGCGTGGTCCTTTAAAAGGTGGGGGATAGTGTAATGACCCTTGATAGCAAGTTGCTACTATGGCCCAGCTGTAGTGGCTTAAGCCTTTACAGCTCAGTCGGTAGAGCATCAGTCTGTAAATTTGAAACAACAGCAACATTCGACATTTGAGGCGTTTATTGAGGGCAAGGACTGGAAGTCGCCATTTTCTGTAAATATCACAAGGTAATTTTGTTTTGCCATCAAAAGTTTTACATTTACCCAGCAACTCGGTAATCCCACAATGCAGTTCAGATTTCAAAAATCTCACAAAAATTGGAGGCTCACACATTAAGCTGAAGAGTTGCCGATACATAGCATCATTTACACATATTAATCGTTAATAACTTCCGGGAAAGTGTTTTGTCAAAAAAGTCAAGAGAAGAGGTAAGGAAACTGCCTATTTTGGATTTTCTACTTGAATTACCAAGGTACCCAGATACACGATTAGGAATAGGTTTCATTTGTGGGGGAGAATTGGCACTAAAATATTAAAAAATAAGAAAAAACGCCAATTTGACCCCACATTTATGCACATGTTATCTATTGCAAGACTTACGCCTGCCACAACCGTCGCCATGTTAATCAGTGTTTTTAAGTAGCGCAAGGATCCTGCCATGACCGTGGTAGTGTTAGCGTTTAAGCCTGGTATAACCGTGACAGGCTGGTATAACCGTGACAATGCTGTATTATATTGCAAGGCCTGTCATGACCCTGGAAGTGTTATCGTGGAAGCCTGGCGCGACCGTAGCCTTTATTGTGGTTTATAAGCGAATGTGAATATTAATGTATGGTAGTAATTTTGATTTTGACATGATTAAGGTATATGTAGTTAAAGGGTGACGCATATCGATTAGCAAATCGAACGCTCGTTTCTGGTGTTGCTCACCGTTTAATATAAAAGGCCCGATCCCGGAATAATACTCAAGGGTTCACAGGTTCGAGGTCGTTGTGTCAACACCTCTAACTGTTATATAGCATAAGTATAGTATAGATCGTCACACATTTATACAAGAACACAAATGTGTACAAAATGTCCCCACCAGTGGGTGATCCCATCAAATGGTTATCCTGAAAATGAGTAGACTAAGACTTTACCAACACAATTTGAGGACGGAAAATCCAAAATGGCCATCTTAAAATTTACCCAGAATGCCCAAAATTTAGTCAGTTCTAGATTTTCAAACTAAGAACCAACCCTGAAAATTTTTAATTGATCCGTCACACAGTTAACTAGAAAACATGTAAACAAGACTTTACAGACAAGATTTTAGGACGGAAAATCCAAAATGGCTGCCTTGACATTTACCCAGAATGTCAAACAAGAACACAAATGTGTACAATATGTCCCCACCTATGGGTGATCCCGTCAAATGGTTATCCTAAAAATGAGTAGGCAAGACTTTACCGACATAATTTGAGGACGGAGAATCCAAAATGGCCACCTTAAAATTTACCAAGAATGCCAAAAAAGTTAGTCAGTTCTAGATTTTCATACTAAGAACCACCCCTGAAAATTTGAAATTGATCCGTCACACAGTTAACCAGAAAACATGTAAACAAGACTTTACAGACAAGATTTGAGGACAGAAAATCCAAAATGGCTGCCTTGACATTTATCCAGAATGCCAAAAACTAATCTGTTCTAGATTTTAATACTAAGAATCATCCCTGAAAATTTGAAATTGATCTACCAAACAGTTCACCTGGAAATGTGTAGACAAGACTTAACAGACGAGATTTTAGGACAGAAAATCCAAAATGGCTGCCCTGACATTTACCCAGAATGCCCAAAAACTAATCAAATCTAGATTTTCATACTAAGAATCATCCCTGAAAATTTGAAATTGATCTACCAAACGGTTCACCTAAAAATGCGTAGACAAGACTTTACGGGCAAGATTTTAAGACGGAAAATCCAAAATGGCTGCCTTGACATTTATCCAGAATGCCAAAAAACTAATCAGATCTAGATTTTCATACTGAGAATCATCCCTGAAAATTTGAAATTGATCTACCAAACGGTTCATCTGAAAATGCGTAGACAAGACTTTACAGACAAGATTTTAGGACGGAAAAATCCAAAATGGCCGACAATAAAAAAGTGATTATGAGTTTTTGCTGAAATCTTTTTACAAAATTATCACATATAACTACTGTTAACAATAACATAGGCTTTTACAACAAAGTACACCTGAAATTATTTATAAAGCTACTAAAAAGTTAAAGTATGAAAACTGAAAAACACCATTCAATGTGATACAAAGTATTATCGTGCGCTAACTTTTCTTAAAACATTCAAAATGGCTGACATGACTGAGCTAACAGGTCCAAAACCTAATCAGATCTAGAATGAAGTGAGCTGAACAAGATGTTAAAGTTTTAAAAGCAACGGTGATGCCGTTTTTCTTAAAGTTTGCAGACAAGGATTTTAGCATTTGACTTCAAAATGGCCAACAGGAAGTAGGTATCGAGTTAATTTTTTTTCATCCACATCTGTATGCACTCATAAGTTATCCCTGAAAATTTGAAGGTGATATCTGTAGCGGTTTTGGAGAAAACTGCCGGACGTACGGACGGACAGACAGACGGACAGACAGACGGACACCGTGTTCTTGAATGGGGGTATGTGTGGTTGTTCGGGTAGTAAAATAAATAGCTTCTGTGGTTAATTTTTTTGTGTGGTTATCCACACAACAAAATCTCTCAATGGATGTAAAAACCCATCTACTGTGGTATTTTGGATTTTCAGGGAATGCCACACAAGAAGTGTCTACAGGGTGTTCCATATGTTTCAGGAATGATGCTGTGTTTTATTGGTTTTCTTTTCAATGTAACTGAATTTTTGACACAATGTGTCTACGCATGTTTTGAATAAGTTAGGAAAGTTTCATATCGTGAAGTTCAGTAGTCTTAATTATATGGTTGCTATAGTAACCTAGGGGTAGGGTAGGTGGAGCAGGTGTAACAACGCGCAAAATATATGAAATATTTGTAAAAATAGTTTTTTTTTGTACGAAGTGTGACTAAGTATTAGGTTGTCAGAGTTGGATCAAACTTGTCAGTAATTAAACAAAAATGAAGGTGGATTCCAAGAAAGTAAAAAAATGTCATCACCCTTGATCACATCACAATTTAAACACCTGTCATGTCATGAGTCACAAAGGAGAATAAACACAGGTCATTTTGGACGAACGGCCATCTTGAAAAGTGAAAAAGTCATTAGCAAAGGAAAACTTTGACTTAGGCAACACACATCAATCTGTGACAAGACATGACAAGTGTGAATAACAGTTTTCTGCAGCAGACACAATTAAACTCCTGATGAATGCACATGGGGAGTCAATGATGGTAACCTCTAGAGTGTATGAGTGGTACAAGCGGTTCAAATCTGGAAGGGAAACTGAGGCCGATTATCCAAAATGTGGATTTCTGAGAACAGTGAGAGCGCTACCTAATGCGGAAGGGACAGATGCTGAAATAATGATGATGGCTAATAAAGGGTGTGATAACATTTTTAATTTCTAGGAATCCACCTTTATTCTTTTTAATTTCCAACAAGTTTGATGCGACTATGACAAATTAATACTTTGAACACTTTATACAAAAACTACTATTTTTACAAAAATGTCATGTTTTGCGTGTTACACCTGCTCCACCTACCCTACCCCTAGGTTACTATAGCAACCCTATTATTCAGTCTACTGAGCTTCATGATATGAAACTTTTTCAACTTATTCACAACATATTTGGACACATTTTGTTAAAATATCAGCTAGATTGAAAAGAAAACCAATAAAATACAGCATCATTCCTGAAACATATGGAACACCCTG